GGGAAAAAATGTGCCGGGGGAGGAAGGAACAGAGGGAAGACCGGGAGAGAAAAGAGTGAACGAGAGAAACGTTAAGCCGAGACAGGGGGAAAGTACTCGAACCGGGGAACCGGAGCGGCTAAGAGGTTTATAACGGACCGAGAGGCTGCCTCGTTTTCCTTACCGGGAAATTGCGAGGGTATTTTAGAAAACACCGGCGGAAGCTCTCGACGGTATTTCTGAAAATAACCCTGACAAGCACGAACATCCCCCCGGGAATTATTCCCGAATCGGCCACGGATCCTCCCCGCAATCCGAAAGCCACCGCCAAACCGAAACCGAGCGAAATACAAAAGTTGGGTAAAGGAAAAAAAGAAAGAAATCCGCAAAAAAATTCCAATCTACGAAATCCATTCTTAATGCTTCGAATATTTTAATTGGCGATTTTGGAATTAATATTTCCGGCCCTCTCCGACGTGCTATAAGCTGGAGTTTACGGACAATTACTGGATGAGTGTTCCGCGACAATGCGCGCTTGTACGCGTATTTGGCGCGAGACTCGATAGAATCTTTGACTTTTAAATTCAGGATAAATTTCGCCTAAAAAATGGCGGTCCAGGGGGCTGTGTGAACCTGGAATCCAGTTTCAGGCACAAACGAAATTTACAGGCTTATGGGAATATTTCTGTGATGTAGACGCTTGTGTCATGTTGAGTTTTGTTTGTGGCATTTCTTTTACAAAAGCCAAAACGGTTTAAAAAGATAAAGAAATTCTGAAATCGTGGAAAATTGGATTTTTTTTACTCTAATGGGTTGTCTGACGTTAGGAAAATTTGAAGCCTCCCAGAACCACAAAAACGTAAAAACGGTAATTTTCGGAATTTGTTTACCTTTTCTTTTTTAACTCTTTGGCACCTAAGAGCGCCTAAAGGCGCCCGACGTTTGGTCCAATATTGCCTGCACGGTCCGACGAATTTCGCCCATATGTCGAAATGGCTCCGTGTTCAAAGGGTTTGTAAAAAAGAAATGGCACAAATAAAACTCAACATGGCGCAAACATCAACATGACAGAAACATTCAAATAAGCCTGTTAATTTTGTTTATGCCTCAAACTGGGTTCCAGGTTCACAGGTCCAGGGAGGAACGTTCCAAAATATTTAGGACGACTGGGATGGATTTTCCGAAAATCTCCTTTTCTTTCGGCGATGCCATGTTCCGTCTACGAGACTGTCGTCACCGCCCAGCATCGACACCACCAAGTCCGACCCTAATTTCGATTGCCGTCCCTCGCGCGCCGTTTAGCGATTCATTTATTCACTCTCCGTGGATTCCCCGGTCCGGAAGTCGAGCATCCTGCATAATGGTCGCCTTTGAGAAGCAAAGGGTTCGCCGAGGGGAGTTGCGTGCCGCGACAAGAGCAGAGTCTTAAGAGGAGCGATCAAAGACGCGCGAAACTGGGGCGGTTCCAATCCGGGCGCGAAAATGCTCGAAAGTGTCGGTAAGTAAAGGGGGAAAGGAAGGAAGGAGAAGGGGGTTAACGTATCCGTTTCTCGCCGTTTTCCCTCCTAGTTGTGGGGGGAAAAGGACAAGTTTCGCCGGGCCGAGCTCGGCTTCTCTTTTTCGCCCGGGGTGGCGGGAATCGGGGGCGGGGGCAAAGAAGGCCAAAGACCGAAGCAACAAGAAGAACCAAAGGCAGACGAGTGACCCGAATATGCCGCTTTCGGAGGTGGAGCCCACCCCCGATCTTCGCACCCCCTGGAAAACACGTCCCGGGGGTGCTTGCCCCCGCGGCGGTCGATGCCCCTCCCCGATCACCCCCAAAAGTTCTCCTCGAGCAGGCTCTGAAAATTCGTCACCACTACGAAACTACATTCAAGATGGCATCCAGGTTGAATGAAAGTGTATTTGAGATGGGAAATAAATTCGGGGGTAAAGAAAGGGAGGAGAAGCGGAGAGATCGTCCCTAACTTTGAGTAAGAACCAAAAAAAGAAAGAAACAGGGGCGATTAGATATGCCCACCCTGGTGGGGTATTGGAGCAGCGCCTCCTTTCTGGCACCTCGACGAAGAGGTGGGAAACTGGGGCACTTTTATCCGGCAGTCCGGCTGTTTAATTCGGGTAATGGAGACGAACGACGCTTTTTTCCACCGGGTCGAAGATTTCGGCCGTGAAAGTCTGCAATCCCCCTCTGCGGAAATTTTACCGCACCCTGGAAACCTTCCTTCACCTGCGGGTAAATTGAAACTCCCCTCGAATCGGTCGATTGGAATGAGGCAGTCCTTCTTTTCAGGGGGGCAGGAACGAGATATCGCGATTCTAGGGTCTTACGATGATTTCATATTTCAAAACGATCGTTTCTTTGATCTTATAGTTTTTCTTTCTTTTTTTTTCCCCCAGAACTATAGGAGAATGTTTAGCCTGTTTAGGGCGAGCTTCAGGGGCGATAACGAGCGACTCGGTTGGGGTCAGCCCGGTGACTGGCAGAGATATTAATTGCTCAACGGCCATTAGCAAATGGACCCACCATGAGCCTCGGTGAGGGCCTCGGCCCCCGTGTACGGCGTTTACAATTAACGTTAATGTAACGGAGAGCCCTTTGTGCGCTGGTTGCGCCGCTCGCGCGCGTTTCGCGTTGAAATCGCGCCCGGTCGCTGCCGGCCAGGGCCGCGGTTTAACTCATAGCGCATAAACTACCATTAAAAGTTAACCGTTTAGCCGGGCCCGACGTCGTTCGAGCTATTAAGCCCTGGCCCGTTGCTTCCATCTTCATTTTCAACGCGGTCCCGCAGTGGCGCGAAAAAAACAAAACGAGAAAAAAAAACAAATCCGCGACTGCGCTCTGTTATCGCCAAAAATGTCGGCTTTCGAGATCTCGTCCATTCGAGTGATAAAAAGAGGAACGGAAAAGGATTAATATACATAGTTCCATTTCCGGCTCTCGGGTGTAATCAAAAGAAAGAAAATTGAGAATTTCATCAGCGGAAATGTCGATTTTCAAAATCTCGTTCACTCGGAATGATGATAAGTGGAAGAAAAATATGTTGAAACGAATAGTTCCATTTTCACGTTCCGACCCCGGAAAAAATCCGCGAATTCGTGAATTTCACGGCTGCGCGCTGTTATCGTAAAAAAAAAGTCGACCTTCGAAATGGCATTCGCTGGATTTAGAATCGTGACGACGACAAGGGGTAAAGTCAAAAGGAAGGTGAAGTGACAAAAGGGGAAGGAAAAAAAAGAAACCGTCACCCCTAGGCAGGGGGTAAATCACTCCTAGACGCGGCCAGAAGGGCGTGGAGTGGGGCGGTTAACGCAATGTGCATAAACTACCATTAAAAGTTAACCGTTTACCCGAGCCGACGTCGTTTAAGCAATTAAACCCCCGACCCGCTCCTTCCATCTTCATTTTCAGGCGGAGTGTCGAGCGGGCGAATTGCCGCGGAAAATAAACCGCGATTAGGGGCCGAGGTTTCGCCGGCATTTCTTATTAAATATCTCTGCGAGTACTTTTTTTCTTTTTGCCACGACTTGCTGCATCGGTAAACTGGTCGAAGCGAGAGGCGAAAATGGAATCGGCATGGGTCGCCCAAAGAACTCGGTATATCCAACCGAACGATACCAAGTGGCGATTGGAAACGTTTTTCCAACAGCCAGCTGACCTTAATTGAGAGATACTTCGAGTCGGCTTCGATTATCGGGAAAGAAACGTCCATCGTCGCCCCTCTCTCTCTCTCTCTCTCTCTCTCTCTCTCTCTCTCTCTCTCTCTCTCTCTCTCTCTTTCCGTCCCCCGGAGCACAAAGCTCCTCTCGCAAATCCGAAAATCCGATAATCGGCTCTTCCGGAGCCATATATACACGTGTACGTGTACACCTAGCCACCTCGAAACAAGTGAAGAAAATGTTAATTCAATTCTACTCCAGCTCTGTTGCCTCTCGTGTCGTTAAAATGAATAATTCATCGATCCCAGGGCGACTTCCGGTAAACGGGGCAATTATGACTTATAATATAAATATTCTTCCCGATTACCTGACCCCCCCCCCAAAAAAAAAAAAAATCATGCGATACTTGCATGAATTTGACATCGACATAAATGTCGATGATTAACCGAGGGAATAACGTACCAACCCGTACAAGAGCATTTGTAGAAATTCTGTTAATAGTTAATACCAAAAGACAGAGTCGAGGGGGTATTCACTCAAGAAATTATGTATTTTAACCCATGAAACGTGGAAATTGGCGGCCGTGTGATCCTGAAATCCAGTTTGAGGCACAAATAAAATGAACAGGGTAATTGGAATGTTGCCGTGATGTAGACATTTGTGTCATGTTGAGTTCTGTTAGGGGAATTTTCCTTTTTCTTACAAAAACTAGAGCTGTTCGAAAAGATAAAGAAATTCCGAAATCATGGAAATTTGTGGATTTTTCGATTCTAATGGGTTCTCTGGCGTTAGGAAAATGCAGAGCCTCCCAGAGCCTGAAAAACGTTAAAATGGTCATTTTCGGAATTTGTTTATTTTTTTCAATAGCTCTGGTTTTTGTGAAAAAAAAAAAGAAATATGGCACAAACGTCTACGTCACAGAAACATTCCAATGAGCCTGTTAATTTTGTTTGCGCCTCGAACAGGATTCCAGGTTCACACATCCGAAATCGTCGTGGAGATCGCAAGCAGAAATCGTTGGAAATCACCACTCCGAATTTACAGGCCGAACGCCCCTTCTTAACAAATCGCATTGTTGTGTGTCATTTGAAATGAAAGGCAATCGGCTCTCAAAGGAAATCGTTTTCAGCCCCTCGGCGTGCGCTATTGGGGTGTAAGAGAAAGTTCGGTCGTATTTTGAACACGTACACTTCTTCAGAGAAAAAGGGGAAATAAAAAAAGAACAAGAAAACCGACAGAACTTTCCCTTACACGTGATATTTTTCCGCGTGGCATCGGAAGAACCGGGTCAACAACTCTGATCGCTCGATCGATCGCGAGGGGTCGGAATTTTCGGAAAATCGGGCATAATTCTCGCCGCTTACCTTGAAAGGCTGCCTCGAAGGTGGTCTTCTCCTCGACGGGGTTCTGGGCGAGGACGGCATCGGCTGAGCAGCCGATAAGCAGAAGGAGCCAAACCCAGAGTCCGGCCATTCTGCCGCAATTAACATCCACCCCACGGGATTCGTCGCGGGGGGTAAAATCCTCACTCTCGCATATCCGGTGGCCGACTGGGCGGAATTCGCGAGTCGCGTTCGCCAAGCTCTGGGTTCGCGACCCTGGCCTTAGGCGCGACTTAATTCGAATTTACCGCGCTTTATCGGCCGATCGAATCGACCAGCCGGATGTGTGTCCGCGCACCTAGGCGGTATAAATCCACCTGAAAAATATCGGCCGTCACGCGTCACGCCGTCTCTCCTCCCTGCTCCGACTACGCGGAACGGAAAACGGATATCGAGGAGCCTCCTCTCCCTATCCGGGGAAAAATCACTCTCTGAGCGCGACGAGTCGCGCCGAATCGGAAAATTTCGAGAAATCCACGCCGAGCCACGTAGAGCGCGACCCAGAGGCTCGTTGAATTCGCATCGACCGCGTCAAGGGTGAGTATCGTTAGACAGAGCGACCTGCGACATTTCCACGTTTTCGGGACCCCCGATTCTTCAACGGGTGAGCCGCGTCTAATTCAAATTTATAAAAAATTGTGCGAATTTTATAACATTTCTGATGGAAGTTTTACTCAGACATGGCATACTTATTTTATATCATAGTTACAAATAAATGCATAACGTGTGATATAAATTTAGTACACATGTATGTAATACAATTATGAAGCATCGTCCAAGTCGAGGGTTAGTATCCTTAGACAGGGCGACCTGCGACATTTCCACGTTTTCGCGACCCCCGATTCTTCAAGGGGTGAGCCGTGTATAATTCACATCCCGTTCTAGGTCGAAATGATCCCGAATCAAAGGTAGTACACTGTTAAAAAAAATTGTGGGAATTTTATAACATTTCTGATGGAAGTTTTACTCAGACATGGTATACTAATTTTATATCATAGTTAAGAGGGTAAGGATATATAATTTTTTAATGGATACCTCGTGTCTATTTCAAACTCGGCTCTAGGACGAAATGATCCCGAAGAGGTTCACGTCATGGGAATCAACCGGGCCCGGCGGTGTGATCGATAACGCGAACAACTACCCGCTAGGCCAGGCACCCTGAATTAGTCAACAGTGGCGGTGAAAAAAAAAAAAAGAAAAAAAAAAGAACCCCAGGATTGGGGATCATTTGTCGACGCGAGAATACCCGGCGAAAATTCCGACAAATTTCCCTGACCTCGGTCAACTATTCGACGGCGGCCTCCATGACCCTTGGAAATGATCAGTCCTCTAGATGCGGTACATTTGGAAATATACAGCACGCGTGACACACGACTGACATTTGATTGCGAGGAAATCATGAATGGCGTAGCTTCTAATCCGTTCGTTTCTTCTAAGTTACCACGTGGTCGGCGGATAAAAATGGCTGGTGGATTTTCAAAGAGCCTACGGTCGCCGATAGTACCCCGAAAAGAAAGGTTCAAACCGGCGGCGGTAATAGAAAGGGTTAACCGCACCTGCCGCACTGGAGCCGGGGAAACAAGAAGTTAAAAAGAGAAAGGGGGAATAAATGGGCGAATTAGAGGGATTCGCGAGATGAGGCGAGAGCGCCGGTTACTACGGTCATAATGGACGACTTTTCGGGCCGGGGGACGCAAAATGAAATGAAATTAGATAAATGTCCCCCCTCTGCCGGGGACCGGGGATTAAACGAAGACTCGAATGAGTTAGTTATTTCGTAACGAGCCCCGGTTGTTTCGCGTCTCGCAAGGAATTCCCGGGCCCGGCCAAGGGATGAATTATTTCCCCTGATCCCGGAATAAATCCTTTGCTTTCGAACCGATCGGAACTATCTAAAATTACGAGCGATCCGCCAGATTATATTTTCATCTCGTCGCCGTGCAAGTGTATCGACCTACCGACGTGATAACGAGTTCCAATAGCGATATCCATGGACTGGAAAGAGGCTAAAATAAGTCTTACGTTCTCACTAATTCACGGCACAATTATAACATGGTAGCACTTAATATAGATGGGTCAAGTCGCGGGAATAAATCCTCAGAAAAAAACAGGCTAATCAATTGATGCTCCGAAAACAATATTTACAGCCTGGCGAGCGCGGATTTTATTTTCGGCAAGTCAAAGGTGTAACAGAATTATTACCTTTTTTGAATGCACCGAAAACAATGTTTGTTACTGACGGGACAGTGGGAATATCGTTCCCAGGAGATCAAAGAAAAGCGTGTAAAAAAAGAGGAATTTTTTTATTTTCGGGTTAATTCGCGTCATAGTGCTCGACACCGAACGGTCTAATTGCGGGATTAAATCCTCCGAAAAAACAGGCTAATCAATTGATGCGATCCGAAAACAATATTTACAGTCTGGAGGGCGCGGATGCGATTCCCGAGAAAGACAAGGGAAAAGGGTTTAGGAAATCGTATTTTCACGGTAATTCAGGGTACGATTATAATGTTACGGTGCTCGACATAGAACGGTCAAGTTGCGGCGGTAAACCCTCCTAAGAACGGGCTAATCGGGGGATGCCATGAATCAAGGGAGGTACAATCGCGGGCGTAATTGCGCTCCAATGGCGGGTAATTAACGCGTTGCAATTGCATCGAGGAACGAGAGGGCGACCGCCGGTTTCCCCTGACCGAAGGAAAATATTTTCCTTAACGTGCCACGCGATTGATCAACGGCATCGGGCGTAATTACGTGTCCCCTACCGTATGGGACACCGCATTACAAATTCTCCGTCCCATTGCGCGGAGATATCGACGCAATTTCAAGTGCCGATGCGTTCCGCCAGGCGTTATTATGCGTACGATTCAGGAAAATCATTGCCGTTAATTTTCCAAATGCGGCATAAACGAGTCTGACGACGTGGGTACCGAGCCGTGATCAATTCCGATAAATAACAGCCGTTGAATTCCTGCAGGATACATACCCCCTTGTAACATTTAATTAAGAATTAAATTTTCAATTTCCGAATTGAATTTAATTGAATATTTCTCGCCCAGGATTTCGTCAAGAGTGGAAATCGCTCGTCAAGCACGGCCGAGTTATGAAGTACGACGTAAACGAATTTGACGATGTAGACCGATGTGGACATTATAACTCTGTTTAATTCCGATTATGAACATCAGCGTCCCTTGCAACATTTAATTAACAATTAAATTTTGCAATCTCCGAATTAAATTTAATTGAATACTTCTCGCGCAGGATTTCGTCAACAGGGAAAAGCGCTCGTCAAGCACGGCCGAGTTATGAAGTACGACGTAATCGAATTTGGCGATGTTAATCCACGTAGACATCAAAACGCCGATTAATTCGGATTATAAATATCAGCTGATAAATATATGTACAATACCCGCCCCCCTTGTAACATTTAATTAGGAATTATAGTTTGAAGAATTATGAAGTGCGACGTAATTGAATTTGGCGATGTTAATCCATGTAGAGATCAAAACGCCGATTAATTACGATTATAAATATCAGCTGATAAATCTATATACGATACTCCCGTCCATTGTAACATTTAATTAGGAATTAAAATTTCAATTATGCGAATTAAATTTATTTCAGCATTTCTCGAGCGGGATTTCGTCAACAGTGGAAAGTGCTCGTCAAGCACGGCCGAGATACGAAGTCCGATGCAAAAGAGCGTAGCAAATCCATCCCGGATGTTTCCCTTGTAAGATTTAATTAAGAACGGAATTATTAATCTCGGGATTAAATCGAATGAAATATTTTCCATCCAGGATTGCAGTGGAACGGTGGGGATCTCTCGTTAAGTAAGGCCGGCAGAGAGATGTAGCAGCGTCATACATTAAGGAACAATCGCGGGGCCGTAATCGCGCCGCAGTGGAGGACAATCAACGTGTCGCTATTGCTTTCGGAGATGAGGGAAATTCAAATTGCTCCGAGATACGAATTTCGCAGGAAGATGCCATCCGGGATAGGAGCCGAAGCTAATATTACCACGGCATTGTCCCGGACGAGTTTCCACGATTCCGATCGTCCCTTTTCCTTAATTCCATTCGACATCTTGTCCACGTACGCAAATTAATTCGGAAAAAAATTCCTACTTGAATAATAAGACGCTCTTCTGGAATAAAATTGAATACAGTGAATCTTTAGTGCAAGTAGTATCTACGTAACTTGTATATACATGTAGGAGTTTCTGCGATTCTGATCGTCCCTTTTCCTTAATTCCATCCGACATCTTGTCCACGTACGCAAATTAATTCGGCAAAAAATTCCTACTTGAATATTAAGACGCTCTTCCTGAGAAAAATGCACTACAATGAATTTAGTCCACGTAACTTGTACATACATGTACGTATATCGGGTATGGGTTCGTTTGGTTTACGGGCGTCACCGGGTACTCGTTTAATTTCCGAAAGTAATGGGCAGAGTGCACCGACTCCACGCCCTCGCTTCGAAATGAAAATTTAATTACTGGTAACGAGCGTTCTCGCCGCGGGATAATTGGACATTTTTCGGGGGGGCGCAAAACACCCCCTGCTGATTAATAAAAACCCCCGAGAAGCATATGACGAATGTTGCGTAATCGGTGATATCGTCCGCCCGAAATTCCTCCCCCCCAGCGGAACGGCGTCGTAAAATGTTAACGAATAACAATGCATGTGCAACGGGCAACGCGCTCTTAACTTATTCCATCTACACACGGTGGAAAGATTAACGGGACGGAAGATTAACCCTGTTAACCGGCCATAATCCTTGATTTACAACGCAATATTTTTCGCCTCGTTCCTACCACCATTGCGCAATAATCTCGCCATTGTGGGGCCACGTAAATGTAATCGCGCGCTCCGTCCACGTTTCCGGGGAATTTCAAGCGCAATAACATCGCGGCTCGCTGTCGAAACTGAGAAATAACATTCCTCCTATATCAATTCCTGCCCAGCAGGAGCAACACAATTCCCGTCTCTAACCTAACCCCCAAAATATATTAACAAATTCTCCCGAGTATTTATCCGAGCACTCCGTTCCGACAAGAAGAGCACCCAAGGAGGTTATGTCGAGGATCTGGACGCTGAGACTCACCGACGTCTAGATTTCGACGCGATATCGAGCCCTTCCGGGTCGCACTTTAAGGATCGGAGATTGCAGATTTCTCGAAATAGGACGAAGGATTGTCGAAAAACGAAAAAAAAAAAAAAGAAGAATAAGTGTAACGCCGCCGTTGGTGCGTTTTCTTTAGCAGGTAGTAGAGGACGCGAGGCAGCCGGCGACGACTTCGGTCGACTGAGTGCACGGACGCCGGGAAGTCGCGACACGGAGAGGTTAGCTCCCCGACGCTCTCTCGCTCTCGCGGGGAGAGGTTCTTCCGTCGCATCCACTGTACCTCGGAGTTCCGCCGCGACTCGCGGAAGTCGTCGACAGCGTCGGGACGCTCGGGCGCGCAGAGACTGGCCTGGAAGCCGCGAGAAGGGCGCGCGAGGGTGCACGCCGGCCGGCGACTCGAATCGAACTGGGGGCGAGCGCGCGCCCGTGGCGCCCCTCGCGGCGGCCACTTCGCGCTTCGATCGGCCGCCATCTTTTTTACACGAGCGCCCCCAGCGCCGGTACTAACCCCCCGTGAAAACGTCGCCCGCATACGTGCCGGCGTTACCTGGAAACGGCGAAACCTCGGAAGAAACATCGAGCGAGCCTGGCCGCCATCTTTACACGGGATGGCTCCTGCCAACAAGATTTAAATGTTTCCTTTCAGCTAACGCAACGGCGCACGTCGAATATATCGCCTTGTCTTCGTTGCTCTCGTGTTCCACGTCGAATTGCCGTAACATTGGGGATCGTGAGAAACTCCGGGCGGAAGTTAAGGGTCGCGCGCCGACGCCATGTTTGTTCCGGCACTAGGGGAAATAGCGCACTTTCCGGGATACCGGAAAAGGTCCGGAAGAGCATCCGGGGTACTGGGAAGTAGGAAACGACTGAGGATTTAAATTGGAGAAAATTGTTGACCGGCCTTCGCTGGGACTCACGGGTCGGCAATGTCGCCGGGAGTGGGCCGAGGGAACGCGCAATAGTCACGGACCTCATTACACGTTTTGCTGGGTAAACCCGGCCGCGTAGCCCGCGAGGTAGATATTAAAACTTGAAATGAAATCCAACCGCAACGTTTCCAAAGAATAGAGCTCGTTGAATCGCTAATAAGCGCTGTAACAACCGGTAGCGGTGTCTCATAAATAAGCACCGGGAATTTCTCATCGTACCTCTCCTTACTCGGAGTGGCCGATTTAAAATAACCAGTCAATTTGTCTAAGGATCCAATAAAGGGGAGATTGTACGGTATAAATATTTATTAACAATCAAGGCGTCCCCTTTTCTCTTTAAACCGGTAACGTGGAATTTCTTCAGTTCCTCGGATGTCGTATACGAGTTTCTGTGTAGGCACCGTTTACGTTATGGACGGCGGATGGTTAAACATTTCGGAATATTTATTAACAATCGAGTCGATCACGTTTGATAGCCTTGTCGGTACAGTCGGCGATTGTCTCTCCTCGCTTCGATTGAGAGCACTCTTCTCCGTAACTCCGATATAAAAGTACGTGTAAAAAAAGACGAAGAATCGGTGAATAAGTACTGTTAAACTAATACTGCAAGTAACATTTATAAATAGCAGAATCTTGTCGTTTACGTTAGCACTACCGCGACTCTCTCAGCACCTTCTCTCCGATTAACATAAAATGGCTGGTCTCGGAAAACGATGGACTAACCTACCGACTATCCAGAAGTGTTTGCAAACTCGACCTCGGGTTACTCTCGTTAGAATAATCCCAACTCGGCCGGGTATAAATATAACTTTTTGTTACAGCAATTTCGCATTGTTCCCAGTTTCTGAACACCAGTAGGTAGTACTACCCACAGGTACCAGGGAATAAGAGCTATAAATAATTCTCAAACTTTAACGGTAGGAATTAGAAAATTCGGAAGTTCATTGTCCATGTCCTTCGAAATATTTGTTCCGATCAGCGAGGACGTCGAAGAAGTACCTGCTCCCCCTTGCACCGGGTATTCGAAATGATTGTCAATTTTTCTTAATAGCGAATCGTTCGAACCTACGTTTTACGAAAATTCAAAGATCAGGTAAGATTCGGCAGTCCACGCTTCGAGATGCGGAAATTCGAAAGCCTGCCAAGACCGTTCACTTCGTTCGACGTCTCTCGTTGGGTCTTCGAGGCATGACTGAAGTACGTATAGAAATACGTATATTGTACGCATCAGCTGGCCGGTTTTCAAAAACGATCCAGCTCTCAGGAGAAACTCATCGGCTGCCGGATATGATTTTCCCTCCTTACTCGTCCTTCTTTCCTCTCGAATTCATAAAGTTGTTCCACGTCTCCTCGATGGGTGCTAGGACGACGATCACCACGAGCACCGCTGCGAAAGCAGCAATGAGGAGGAAATAGACTCCAAAGACCATCTTCCTCAATCCTCCGTGCTGCAAGATTTTCCATTGAATTATACGACACAACGTACCCTGTATACTTGGCCGAAGTTTTGTAGAAAATTGGAAACCAAGTAAAAGCGCGTTTACCCACCGGAGCATCTCGTCGAGCATCTGGATGGATCATCGAGCTACGAGTGTGCATGTCTTTCATGGGGAAAGAGTTGACTCGCTGATTTGCTTGTCTATCGGACGCACAGCCAGCGAACTGCATGAAAGAAAAGGTTCTCCATTAACCCTTGCTATCGCCACCCCACCGAAGAAGAAATTTCATTGAACCAAAGAAATATGTCTATGAATAGTACCAAAGAAACATTTAGTCAAATCAAATCATAATTATTTGGCTGGAATGAGCTCGAATAAATAGGATGCAATATTTCCTTCGGTACGCTGAAAATTTCTTTCAGTTCATCCGAGTCAAATAATTACTCCTTAACGGTAAGAAAATGTTTCTTTGGTACCATTCGAAGAAATACTTCATCGGTTCCGGGGAATTTTTTCTCAGTGCAGTTGCCGATGATAAAGCTTCCTACCGTCAGGAACAGATGAGTGAAAACGTGGAAAACCACGTAGGCCACCAAGACCCAGTCGACCCATTCGGGCAATTGAGCCTTATTGAGTCGTACCGCGAAGAACATGGCGATTACTGAAAAGAAAATATCATTCAAGTATACGGCCAGCCGAGGAGTGGAGATATTGCCAAGAATGTAAAGGGCACTTCCCGGTTTATGGGGTCTTACTTGCGCAAATATGAGCGGCGTTGCCGACGAACCAATGAGCCCAGTTGAAAAGTGGCCTCCTAGGTGCTCCAGGATGTGGCCTGAGGGCTGCCATAAAGGGTTGAATGAAACAGAGTATCGTCGTGGCCAAGCCAAGAGATGCGTGTATAGTGTCCGAGCTCCACTCCCCAATTTCCACGAAAATCACGACGAATGACCCCAGTGTCATCAACCACGTGAGCAGCATGAAGAATCTGTGCCACTGGAAGAAAAATCGTAACCTAAGGCCCGACACAATGTGCAGTAAATTAACAGGCGCCACTGTGACGCAAATGGCACAGAGTTATTGTCGTGACCTGTTTCCGCTGACACGCTGATGTATTTACTGCACGCTGATGGATACTTACCGCAAACCATTGGTCCTTTCCGCACAACTGCGAGTTGACCCAGGTTTGTTTGTAATACCTAGCCAGGAGCATCCCAATGGAGGCAGTCCCGATCCATGCTGCGATCATGAGAGCTCCATGAACCCTAAGTAAGACGTTGCTGGATGCTGTGAACCCACCAACATCGGACAGCAGCTTCGCCTCGGCTGAACCGAGGTAGACGATGTCGTGGAACCCAACGTTATTGTCTGAAAGAATTCCGGAAAATTTAGCATCGTTTTAGTTGACACAAGGTGCATGTCCTTGTCTAGGATAAATTATAGATTAATGGCGCCGATATCCCCAGTCGTCCAGGATTAGGAATCGATTCGGCCCTGAACCCGGTCGAGGATGGCAAAGGTTCGTCACGAATGCACCTGCTTGATTCCCTAGGAAGCGACCCCAGCCAGACATTTTGACGCACTTCTTTAATTATTCATCGACACCGAGCAGCTCCTTCGTCCCTTCATGGGTTACTTTTCCGTCCGTTGCTCCCAGATTCGAGTCCGTTTTATTTCCCCAGATATTTGTCATCTGCCCTGGACGTGTTCCGGGCTACTCGAGGTAGTTACATGAAATCGACGAGCCAGGCTGTCTGGTCCAAGTGACGATTTAAATGGGGCGTCCCGGCTGGAGGAGACCTCGACCGGGGTCAGTTGGCAGAGGTTGGACGCAGTTGCAGCTGCCGCCTCCCCTCTCGTTTGCCAGAGAAGAGCATGCAGAACGTCGGGAAAATAAACGGAAGAGGGGCAGACCATTCGCCGGGAAGTTCCTGCTCGAGATGGAGCACATAGTTACGTACTCTTCAGCTGAGTCCCGGCTGCGACCAGCAAGTGGTAAGGTCGGTTGACGAGGTCGTACTCGCGGCCTTGAACGACCGTAGTCTTTTCCCTCCAAAACTTGCAGGAGAAGACGTCGTCCTCGGCGGAGCTGGACTCTAGCTGGACGGCTCCTCCGGGCTGCAAGCAAATCGCCTTTCAAGTTTAACGTACTTCTCCCCTTTTCACGCAAAGCTACTCGGAACTTTCTCCAAGGGGAATCCTTTCTCCCGGCGTAAACGGAATATCGTGGAAAAATTGAAAAAAAAAGAAAAGAGAGAGAATAAGAGGAAGAAGACAAGCGCGATCTTCAGACGCGACGATACTTTCAGCCCAAGTGCGGCCTGGCGCGAGAGCGGCATTATCCTCTTTCATGCCAGAAAGCCCTTTAAGCTCGCACATGACGTTATCCTCGGCTTGCGAAAGCCATCGTGTATTCCTATCGCGACACAAAGAGGCGATGTCAGGGAATACCGTGGGATGACGAGCGTTGGTCTTCCCCGTGTTCCAGGACATGTAAAGGCCGATCCTGCCGTCGTCGTTCACGCACTCCACCACGCTATCTTGACCCTGCACAATGGAAACCATGAGTCACCTTCTGCTTCCTTCGGGAATGGGATTGCCGAACCGAGTCATCGCCTCGGAAAATCGTGAGCTCGCTTTCGGTCTGCCGAAAAATGGTCGGAGATACCACTCGATTCGGCCATCCATTTTAATTTTTCAAACTCTGAATAAATAGCTCCCTTAAATGACATCCCGGAATGCCGAAGATTTTTTTAATGAACTGAAATATTCCCGAAAAATGTGAATTGCATTTCAGATCACCCGAAAGGTGCTCCAAGGTGCGACTCGATTTGGCCGTCCATCTCGATTTTCAAGCCCTGAATAAATGGCTCGCTAAAATGCCATCCCCGATTTTTGTAGAGCAAACTAAAAAATCTCCAGTTGACCCTGATTTAAGGAAAAAACGGGAGTCGGCCTCAGGACCGAAGTCAAACACCGAATTACCATTTTACTGTCGTCGGACAAGCCAACCGCGACGTATTTGCTTCCTCGCTCTCGGACTTGCAGCTCGAAGAGGTACCGTTCACCTCGCACCAACACCGAGACGACGGCTTTGCAGTTCCTTTCTTCCACACAGCCACTGGGTGCACCGAAACAATTCTTTGTCGTGCCGCACCCATTGTAGAATTGATCCTCCTTGTTGGTCGCCTGTCGGCAAGAAACTCCCATCATGAACTTGAACGACAAGAATTGAAATAATACCCAAGACAATGTAAATACTAAATAATACTTAAGAAAGTTACAAATTCATCTTAAAGAATTTTTATATTAATAATCTAGAGGTGATGTCGAAAACTGCCTTCGAGCGACGTCGCCCAGAATTGGGTGACCACCGGGGAGAATCCACTTCCGGTTTATCACGCCTCGTGGAAAGTGCGGAGCACTTCACCGGAACGTAAACCGGAGATGATTGGCGGAATGCTTCGAAGTCGTGCGAGTCTCTTGAAAATATAGCCGTGCGTCATCTTCAAGACCGTTTCCAGGACATAGAGGGAAACGGCGAAACTAAATATCTCGAAAATCGCATTCGGCCACGTGTAGGTAAGGTCGCGCACTTTAAGGTCGATGTACATGGTATAATAAGTACCTAATTAAAGGCACCGAGGCCACGGAAGTTTAAAACGAAGTCTCGTTACCGAGGTTGTTCGTCGCAGAAACGATTAAAACTCGGGACGTTTACGATATGCTCGTGAACGCGAGTATGTCCGTTGCAGGGTGAAAAACTGAGATAAGGAAGTGCGCAATGACGTTACAATTACGCGCTTCTGTAAATGCGGTGTCGCATTTTCGTCGGGATAAGAAACGCAATGCTCACCTTGATCGATTTGACGTGAAATTCGAGGAGAATTAAAGCATAGCATAAGGAAGTCGATCTCGATGTCGCCGAGAGCTTTTATTTTTTACGGCTTAAGGTGGCCTCTGAGAGGTCCATCGTTCGTGAAACTTTCCCCCGAACTGAGTAGAATAGTTTGAAAATTTACAACGTGAACATAGAGATCATACGGAAGGTCCTGAACGAAATTCAATTGTTTATATTAAGCTTTGAAAATGTCTGTGAATAATTTTGTTTTTCATTTTAAATTCCATGGGTGTCAGGACTTTCCTTATAGCCTCCGTATTCGCGTTGTAGAGTTTTGGTACACTAACGTGATTAAAATCTAAACGATTTGGTACACCCAGTTCGGAGACCAGTTTCGCGAACGGACGTCTTTGAACGCCAGTTTGATATCACGTTAAAGAACCTTCCCGGCCAAGATTTATCCCGATAATGGCGGCATAACTGAGCGTGGGCGTGCAGCGAATGTTGATGCAACTTGAGATGCCGGATAATAAAGAAACATGGACGAGCAGCTTGCCGAGCAGGCCTCGATTTCTAGCGTTTCCTCGAGCTCGGATAATCGTCGGATCGATGAGAAAGTTCTCCGAGTATAATATAAACGTCATCCATCCTGAGATCCCAGTGAAAGGAGAAATAGGGCCAGAAAGTCTCTGAGCCGCCTCGGGCACTCCGAAAGGCATTATTCACGAACTCCGTCCCTTTTGTTAGATACCACTTCGCTCGGGTGTTGAGACTTCAAGGGCTGGAAAGAGAGAAAAAAATACTCAGTTAAAAATCTTTACCTGATAAGTGGTGGTGGGATTGTAAAATGGCGAAGTCGTAGTCCTAAGTGTCGTCAATGGAGAGGTTGTCTGCACGTCGATGGACCGCTTTAAAACCGTAATTCTCGGCGACTCCACGCCAACCCAGTACGTAGAATAATCCTGAGCAAAGGTCGAGCTGTTTAACAGAAAAGAGATCGTCAACGTTATCGGATTCATTGTCTAAAATCTTGGATAAAGCGCAACGGTCGGGGGAAATTACGGGTCGGGGAACCTTCTAGGAATTCGACAAGATCGTGGGAAGTAGTTGATACATACTTGAAAATAATCGTTCCCTCGTAGTCCGGAGGTGCTTGCCAATCGAATTCAAGGTTCTGCTTCTTGTCCTTGTTGACGTGAGTCACGGCGTTCTACGAGCAAAAGAACAGCGATCGTTTAGAGGAGGAAAAATGCCGAGAAACGCGTTCTTGCCGAGGCAATAAAAATCGAGTGAAACTCGAGAAATGGCTCGACATTACGGCTATACTTTTAAGAGTACATTAGGCAAGGAATTTATACAGTCACTGAAATAACCGCTGACGTTTGCACTCCGTCACCATTAATGCAGCGACTTTCCTCGTCGTAGAGGCAAGTCATTATCTTGCGCTTGCCAAAACGCGGAACAAAGGGTTATTCCCTCGGAAATCAGTGATAACGATTTCCTTTTTTAAGAACCGATTGGCTTCGATTCCATGTGATAAACAGCAACGTGATTCGGTAACAATTGACGTTCGGCCTTAAAATTGTGGCGCTGTTTCGATGAATTCCAACGATTTCTAGTGAGTATTAAAATTCATGATTTCCTGAATTAATAACCCCTCGACTTAGTCTTCTTTTCCGAGTGGGTATTCACTCAGGAAGTCATGGATCTTAACGGTCGAAATCACGTGGAAATCATCTAGAAATCGTTGGAAGTCGCCGAACACCGAACCAAATTTTAAGGTCATCACTTATTACCGAATCGCATTGTTGTTCATATTAAATCAGACAATTGGCTTTCAAAGAAGGACGTTTTCACTGATTCCCGAGTGAATAGCCCCTCGTTACTCTGTCTTTCTCTATTTTTTTCTCCTAAAATCGATTCTACCAAAATCCCTCCCGAGAAATTCCCTGCACTCAGTTGACAATTTCCACCAAATTTGACAGCGGCTCTTAACTCGATGGCAGAAAGTTGACGAGCTCCTAGTCGGCTCGTCGGTCAGTCGGAATATAACTCCCGCTTGTGAATTTCCGGCCTTTTTCGGCGAGCGGCATAATTCACCGAACGAAAGTTCCAAAAGTAATTACCAGACCTCGCAAAGTTAGGGTTTCACGCGACCCCGGGCTAATCTCGAATTGCCGGGAAATACCTAGCAGAAACCTCGAATGCGCAATTCGAGATTCGACCGCAGCCTTTCCGCGAAACTCGTCCACCTCGTAAGTATTTACAACATTGGCCAGGCAAACAGCTTGTAAACGGTCCCTCGACTTCCTTCTCGCGACGCCTTTCCCCCGTAAACAGAACGGAACAACAAATATCGAGTTGATAAAAAAAATGCCGCAGCTGCACAACGTCACGAGCGGCGATATTTCCGGGCAATGCGAGATTTTAACCCTCGTTCGGTTCCATCCCTAGAGGTCGAGAAGGGCGCATCTGCTCGCTCTGGTTCCCGTACTTGAGCATTACCTAATGAGAGGAGTTCCCTCTGTATCTGTATTTGCAGGTCCGCCCGAAACTGCATTGAAGATACGTGACCGTAAATTCAAACTCCTCTTAATTGCGCCGAGAATTCAGCACCGGCTCTTCCCGAAATCCTTCGCCCGCCGTATTCGGGGAACAATTCCAGGAGATGCTGCCCAGACTTCCGGTGTAATGAACTTTTCTGGATAAACTCGTACACCCGGTCCCACGTTTCTGCGGCCTCGAGGACCCTCTGGGGCTATTTTCGGATACGCCTGATATTACCTAATTAAATAACGCCCTGATGAGGAGATACCTTAATCCCGTCGACGCACTCCAAGGCTTTTGCGGAGTCGGGCAGATTCGCGAATTCCCCGACGTATTCTCCGGTTTCGATGTCTCTCGCCAGGATCATGAAGCCCTCGTAGGCTAATCCTTGAGGACTGCCCAAAATCAGGCGAACCCTTCCTTGTCCTGCTGCCGGAAGGACCTGATAAGGTGGAGGAGATCGCTGCTCGCTGCTACCGGGATGGATGGGAGCCAAAGAAAAGCATGCACTTTGCGGTGCACCGGTTGGCAAACTGTCGATCTCGGTGCATAAAAGACCAGCCAGAAGAAGCGCCCAAAATATCGGCCTCATCCCTGCGAAATAAATATTTAATATCAGATTATTTCACCACCCTGATTAAAAATCAATGAAAATCTACACATATTTTTACGCATCTCATACACTTTAAACAGAAGTCTCATCGAGCCAAATAACTATCCCTTGGAATGATACCAAAGAAACATTTTGTTAATTCAAAGGATAATTAGTAAAAGGATAGTAGTAAAGTTATTCTTTGAATTAACAAAACGTTGATACCATTCGAAGAATTATTTCTTTGGTTCGATGAATTTTTTTTTTTTTTTTCAGTGTAACCGAAGTCTCACGTAGGAAAACATAAAATGGCAAAATGATGAATTAGAAAATGTATAATGAGGACGGACGATCACTATTGTTTGAAATTTCAGACAGCAAGGCGGTCCTGAAGATGTCTGGCCTTGATTTCGACATGTGAACGGACCTTTAGAATGAGCAACCTTGAAAGTGACTACCTTGATCATTCTGGTTCGGAGTACTATTACTATTACTCGGCTCGGTTTAGCTGAGTTTACTCGGAACGAGGACTTGAGTACACGTAATGTTCAAGGAATTCCGGAGGGCCAGAGTTAAACGACCTTCGCCAAAGGAATACATTCTTACCGCCTCGAGTGCTATTCCCGACGGTCAGATAACCGATGAATTTAATTAATCGATGTCTAAATAAAATTATTAAATCAATAATTCCGTCTGAAGAATTATTTCCATGCGAGGAATCCATTTTCACCTCCTTAACTATCATTCCCGTCTCTCGGATAACAGTGCAATGAATTACCCCGTATAAAATGGTTTGATCGAGGGTATGTATCAATTACCCCTATGAACGATGAATTTAATTAACCGATGTCTAAATAAAATTGTTAAATCAATAAGACGTATTAATTCCGTCCGAAGAATTATTTCCATGCGAGGAATCCATTTTCACCTCCTTAACTATCATTCCCGTCTCTCGGATAACAGTACAATGAATTACCCCGTATAAAATGGTTTGATCGAGAGTATATATCAATTACCTCCTAGATATTACTTTTATACCGTCATCCATTATCCGGCACGGATTTTCCGAGGACTGTCCCGAGGTTAATTCGGGCCACTGTACGTCACTGTCAATTATTGGCTGGGCGGCATGTACGGTTGGTTTGCGTTAACATGCACGTAAATTGGGAGTACTAATCACCTTGTTAACCCTTCAGACTCAAAGTTACGGCATAACCAAATCGCTACATCACCGAGTCGCCAAATCGGATAACAACGGCGAGCCTGCATTGCGCCACAGCGGGACGGCAAACAAATTCCGAAGTGGTATTTTTCCCTCGACCTGAATTTCCATTCATATCCGGGGATAACATTAATTTCCATTCGTGTCAGATTTCTCGAGGCACGTACATAAGGATCGAGGAGGGCGGATTAACATTTCTTTGGCCGGTACTTTACTTTGCGCCGAGCGTAAAAGGGACTCCTCGGAAATTCGAGGGATCCTTGATAAAAAAAAAAAGAAAAAAAGGATTTGATAAGGGAGAAGTTTCTTTCTACGGTAACGAAGAGGTCGACCAAGGAGATGTGGAGACCGAGTCAAGAGGCTACCATGAGCTTCCGGTAGATTTGGTCTCTTCGACCAGTCATGCGAAATTTACCAGCTCGTATGACTCACGGGAATCGTCCGCACACACGAGGTGCCCCCGTGTGTGCACCTACGCACGACAGCCTCGTTCATTCAGACTTTATCACGATGTACTCGTGCAAACACCCGAGGCCCCGGAGACTTAATATTCGCCCGCCAGAAGCGACCCGACGAGCATATGCGTCGAATGAAGTCGTTTCGTAAATCTCCGAGAAATTTCCCCGCGCGGCGGCGACGATGCATCGGCATGCCCCTCCGTTATCCACCGTTCGAGGAAATTTATCGAACCCGCTGCGTATTCACAGTCTCCGGTACTTATTAAAACCGGAGATGGGAAAAAGTACTCGCGAAATCGGAGGAATCCAGGAATTGTGCAAGCGCCACGCCCGGCGTTCGCGCGGCCAACCGTAAAGGCCGGCTAACGCGTCCGTCCCGTATCCGTGACGTATCCGTGACGTATCCATGACGTATCCGTGCACTGATAGGAGGAACATCTTCTTGAGCCCTTAGATTTATGAAATACACGGATACCCCAATATTAATCTGCAGTGATGAAAATAAACATAAGATTCGTCCACTTTTAAGCAAAATACAATTATATACGTATTGTCTTAAAAGTGAATCGGTATACATTTCTATATGAATTTATGATTGCATAAACGAGCGGGGTAATTCCGTGAAATTCTGTAGGTTACGTTTATATTTCTTCGTTTATCAGGATAAAAGACATTATTTTGCATCAGTGAACTTTTAAATGAAATAAAACCATAAATGTCTTGACTTAAAAGTGAATCGGTACACGTTCATTACAAATTTTTAAATCAATTTATGATATCATAACAGCAGTACGTGATTCCGTGAAATCGTCTGGGAGGATTAATACATTTGTTCCAATGATAACATTTTTTTTTTTAACAGACTAAGAGAACATTATTTTGCATCAGTGCACGGGTGTGTCCGAATCGGTCATTGACGGCCGCGGGGGCGTCTTTCAGTAACAGCACTTAGCAATTATTCTTCCCCCCGGTGTCGCAACTCCGGTCGGCGTGGCCGACGATTTCCGTCGTCGTATAATTGGGCCATTACGTAAGTAAGAATTTCAGAGACCCCCGAGTTTAGGAATGCACTTGCGAGGAGAATCAGCCCAGGATTACGACCCGCGAGTGAAAGCCGATGCGTGGGACGAGGACACCCGTTACACTTGCATTCTTAATATCTACCAGGAGTGCAGAAAACAGAGGACGATAAAGCCCCGACAGAACGAAGGACGAGTTCCTGATAAAAGGTGTAAAAATTGTGCCGCGGAGTTATCGCCGCCGGGAGATATCCCCGGGTCCTGGGATGGACCGCAAGTAGGTTACCACATGCATTCCACGTAGATGCATCTACGCACCTGAATGCACGCGAATGCAGGGTCGATACTGGCCCCTGCAAAAGGAATGGACACGACCGACTGTTCCCGTATCCAGGGCTCGCACTCCTCGGAGGCGTAAACGTGCATACAGGATGCGCAGGAGAATAGACACGACCGTGTAACAAAATGCACCGATCTGAGTGCGTTCCCCGATCTAATGCACGGGGGCAATAAAAAGCGAAAGCACCTTGGCTGGACGTGAAACTTTGTTAAACAATGCGTTCGTTAGCGGTAATCAGGGCACTGTTAACACTTTGCCGTCCGCACGATTCGTAAATATTTATTCGCTTGGCGCCGGCAGCGCTAATTCGGATCACTTGACTTGTCGCCGGCCGTTTTTGACGTTATCGACACCACTCTGGTGTCGCCGGCCGTTGGCCAAAAGTTTGCGCACATCACCACTGTGGTGTCACCGGCCGTTGACCGCTAGTTTGCGCACGTCACCACTGTGGTGTCGCCGGACGGCATAGTGTTAAAAACGCGGCCACGTGGTTAGATCCAACGATCGATTCACGCCTAGCGGATGACTTCCTGCGCGGAGAACCTCCCTCGTAGGGAGGGAAGATTAAAACAGATATATAATCTTTCCAGTGAGTGGAAAAGAGATCCGCGTTCGATGCAACGTACACGTTTTAGGAGTACAAACATTGATTCGCCCGCAGTTAACCGCTTTCCGTATTTACGTTCCCATCTGCAATCATCCCCGAGGACGAGTACGTAATTCGCTACACCTTTTTTTTCCCCCACGGTATCGAAAAAGATCCATCAAGTCGTGAGCAATTAAATCGAGGCCATTGAACGGAGATACCATCTCGCGGATATGACAATTGTTCTATCCACTCGAGTGTTTCGCATTGTTCGTTAATTTTCCCATGGAGAGGGAGGTAAAGAAAATCGGGGGATGTGATTCAGCGGTTTACCGAATCGCGAGGAAAATCTGGGACTGGGCCTTGAGTGGATCTCTGGATCGTGGGAGGTTGCGTATGTGGAAAAAAGGGAAAGAGATAGACCAAGGAAGATGCGCAACCTCGAGGAAATTCGATGGTGAAAGATGTGAGCCTTGTTAATTCAAGGAGGGCCCATTAAAACGGAACGATAGAAACCCTCTCCTCTCCTCGCCCTATTCCAACCCCTTTTCACGAGCTCGCCTTTACTGTCGGGCTACAGAATAGAAACGAGACATTACGGACACGAAACGCATGTAGACCTCGGTAGTACATGGGTTCACCTAAATATTGCACGACCTCCACCCTAGTCTACGGTACGAGAGGATAACCTTATACCACCCCGAACTTCTCGGGTTACACTTAGGGCAGAGCAAAACTCTTGACACCCATTCCGCGATATTTCATGTCACCGCCAATTGCGGGGAATTCATTCGCCACCGTATCGCGCGCTCTCTCTGAGATAAGAAAATTATATAGTTCCACTAAGAAAGCAACGATCCAAGGGATTTCAGCCGTTTCTCTATTTCCCTGGTCTAGCAAAGAAACTAATTTGCTCATACCACTTGTCGCGCTACTCTTAGATAAAACAAAATAACGAAAAGTTTACAATATATAATAATAAAATAATATAAAATAAAAAATTATCTGTAACGATGCAAAGGACCAGCTGTTTCTGTACTCGTCTATTATCGCGAAAGGGACCAATTTGCCACTGACTCGAATTAGCTAGCTGCATGATCTCGCGTCGAGGCGCCCTTAATCGTCGATCAGTGTCCCTCGTTTGAGGATCTCTAATTGCATGTCCTGTCCCCGATATGTGGGACACGGAGATTTGCGAGATCAACCAAATTCCATCCCTAGACGACACGTCCGGGAGTGATTATCGACCCGGCTGATTAGACGTCGAATTATCGCGCGGTGCCGATAACGCGACGCTATCGGGCGACGATCACCGTCTGAAAAAGTGGCCGAATTTGACGATACCGGAAGGCGACGTCAACTGGCTAATTCGAAATTGACATTATCCAAGTACTTATCAAACTGTTGTTCTGGACTTCGAATGACGGATTCTCCTCGGATCTCGGCCAAACTAATCCCTGACACTCGATTGGATAATTCCCTTTTCGCAATTTGCCGAAAATAAAATCGCTTAGTTATCATGAGATATCGGCGATCAAGGTGTACAGACACCTAAGGTGTTACGATAGGGTGTGTATATATATATCGAAAGTTAAAAACCTACAAAACTTTTCTCCAAACTGGGCCCACCGGATCACTTGAAACTACTGCACGTGATACACGCGCACGTGGTTTATATTTTGACTTTTGATGTATACAGAACGACCCCCTCGTAACACCTTTTGACAATGAGAAGGACAGGCAATTGAAATTCATGGGATTAGAGGAGGGGCGGTCTTCCCCGATTTGCAAACAGGCTTTGCTTACCGAAACTCGAGTTGGGCGCAACGTGACTTAAAGACAAAGTGGAGTTATCGAATCATGATGTCGTCCAACTAATGGCGGGCAAACGCGGCATTCTACGTGGTAGAATTCGCCTCTAAATAAGGGAAGCGGTCGATAAACACAGTCCATTGACCTCGCGTTAGGGCGCGACTTTTAGCCTTGTAATCGCGGAGTTTATTCCCTCGGTTGGCGGGAATTTTCGAAAAATCATCGACATTCAGCCCTCGGTCTACGAGGCCGTAATTCCGGCCTTTAAATCGACGATCGAGCTTCCCGGTCACGTTTCCTTCTGCACCGGATCGGGAGTTGAGCTTACGACGGCATCGCGTTATAACATTAACGTCCGGACACATTATCCCACTTTTATTTCGCTATTGTTCGCAGAAACGAGTACAAGGCTTCGCTCGCTGAGTTCCCAGTGTTACCGTGTACATAGAGTACTCACACGAGCTCGCGCACTCGAGCCGTACTTACACGCTAACCCGCGTACACAGACCTTAAACGGAATCCGTCATTCAGTAAAACCTACTTTCGTTCATCAATCGGCTTCCACGAAACCAATATTCCACCCTCGAGCATCCACGCACTTAATATCGATTCTCTTTCGAAAGCCCCTCCGCAATGATCGTTACCGAGGCGGGTAGTTGTTACAGGACTAAGTTCCAAGAGGGGTAAAATTATATGAGAAGCCAAGCCACTTGGAAAAAAGCGGAGAGATATAGAAACTACAGAGAAGTGCATTGTCGGGTTTACTTATAAGTTACGCTTAAGACGTGCGTTGTTTCTCTCGGGACTTCCGGAGGAGAAATTAGAGAGAATTAGATCTATCGATTTGGATCTTAGGAAAGTAATGTAAAAGTGTAATCCTTCACTTTGTGGAATGAAATGTCGTACCGAGTTGTAAGAATCCTTCACTCGACGTCTTTGCTCGACGGGCAGAAATATATAGAAACTGGAGAGAGAGGTGCATTATTATCCTACAACTCATGCTTCTTACCTACGTAATATTTCTCGGTACTCGCCGAGGATGATTTACAGAAAATTCGAACGTACCGATTTGAATCGCAGGAAAGTGATGTTAAAATGAAATCCTTTAGTTTATGGGGCGCGGAGTATCGCGTCTGGTTTCTCGATTCCTTGACATCTTCGCTCGGCGGACGAAGATAAATAAATTTAAGAGAAGTGCATTGTTATGCCGCAAATCGGGCTTCTGACGTGCGTAATATCTCGCGGTACTTGCAGAGGATAGTTCACAGAAAAGTTAAATCCTATCAATTTGAATAGCAGGAAAGTAATGTTAAAATAAGATCCTTTACTTAGTGCGACGAAACGCAGTACCGCGTCGCAAGGATCCATTACTGGCGTCTCGTCTCTCGACTCGACGTCTTCGCTACGCGGGCAGAAATCCTCTTAGCACTTGGGCGCTCAGCAAATTGCGTCGTGCAGCGCGTATCACCGAGGATTTCACCACCGACGAAATATCGCAACAAACTCCCAAGAACCACTCGGAACTATAGGTGCAAGATTCGCGTTATCGTGGACTTCCGGGCGGCAAGTGCAGCGGCTTTACCGGCAGGCCTCACTTCCGGAGAAGAGCCGGCAAGGACCCGCGATCCTCTCGCCAAATCGCTCCAAATCGCTTCCTTCCGTCCCACTTGCTGCGCATTCAAATTCCAGCAATCCATCGGCCCGAGTTTCCTTCCGAATCATTGACTTATCTGCGTATCAATAAGCAGTGCTTCTCAGAAAACCGCGGAAAGGGGGCTGATATCAAAACCACCACGGGATAAACTTCAAACTTTTAAATGTCCGATTGCACCATCTAATCCTATAAATAAAACATTCGTGAAAATTGAATCAACGGTACTCTTTACTCACGTCTTTCGGTCTTCATGTTGGCCACGTGCGCTGAACTTGCTGAACACTTTCACGATAATCACGTGGATACCACCTCGCGCCTATCTGCCGAAATCCCCGGCACACCAGAAGTAGTCACCTGGCTTGATGCGTTACCGGCGAGCGTAGCGCGCGACAGTACCGACCGCGTCCCTTCTCTTCTTCCCTCTCTTCTCTCGGGCCCTACCTGGAAGAACGGCCCTTTCAGATCCCGAGTCACCAGGTCGAGTCCCTCGCGCGTCCGACGTCCTTTGCACCTGACTCGACTCGCTTCACGAGGCGCCGGGAAAAGTCAATAGATAGTCACAGTCGGCTCCAAGCGACCGACGCCGAGCGTTCTCCGGTCCCGCTGGCGAACACTTGTTGATTCAGGTCGAGCATGTCCCTCTAGCCTGGACGACAGGAACCACACCTTGCCGCGGACTGTATGGGATGCGAGTCGACTCGAAAGGCCCTCGCCCGTGAGTCCGCACCAGGGCCGTCCTCGACGCGGGCCCGAGGCCCCGACCCCCTTCTCTAAAAAGAAGCGTCATTAAAATTACCCTGAGAAAAATAAATCAAAGAAATATCTCTTAGGATGCTGCCAAAGTCAAATAATTATTCCTTGAATTAAATCAATTTCGTACTATTCGAAGAAATATTCCTCTGGCTCGATGAAACCTTCTTCTCAGCGTACATACCTCGTCCAATCAGAAATTTAATTTACAACATGGACTTGCGCTCCGGGAAGTAGTTGCTTTCTGGATGATAAAATGCGTTCTAAGAAAATGCGTCCTTGTAAAATTCCTTGAACGAGTCAAGAAGACGTGGTATCGGTAATCGATGCGACGTTATGGATTCCCTGGAAAGTAAGATGTGTAGAAATATTTGGGGAACTGGATTCTTGTGAAATTGCAGGTTGATCATTTTTCTGTATTTATGTAATATATCATGCCTTTATGAATAGAAAGCTGCAAGCTGAAGGGCAGATTTAAATACTGAGTGGGTTAGTGCAGGTAAGTTGAGACTTTCTTACTTTTCAATTGATAGAGGTATTTTATATCTGCGCCGGTTTTGAAGTACCCAGTGGTGCTACCTGTTGCAACGCTCCTGGTTATCCAGCGAAGAGAGAGAGGGACTTAACGACTCGACCTCCAAAACGGGGGTATATACCGTTCACCGATTGGTGTTCACCTCCGCTTTATCGACGCTGTTATTAATTCTTATTCGAGCCGACTCTTTTCCTCGTGCCTCCATAACGCGCAATGGACGGATAATCGTTCGCGGCGAAAAAGTCGAGAAAATCGATCAGCTTTCCACGTGTTAAATGGCCAAGGAACTAATTCCCCGTTTACTGGTGGAAAGCTTGGAAAGAAAACCTGTAGATAATTAAATAAAAAAAATATTTATCTCCTTTCCTACGTTTCTTCCGTCCATGGCCGTTATCGAGCGAACCGCCGACTTTACCGACCACAGATTTCGGCAACTGAATATAGGGGGAAAGTTGCAAATCCGATAGAAAGTGGCCGTACTTACGTGAAATGTAACGAGTGCATTAACGCAAAGCGAATCGCTACCGCTAAGAGAAAGCTTTATTCGCGGGTTTCTGCCCTCTCTAGAACGTGCAGGACACTTCGCACGGTCGAGTTCCTCGCAAAAACCTTACGCTTATCCGCGACACAATTTCTCATAAAAGGCGTTGCCCGGCGGCGCGATCGATCGTAGGAAAGTGCAAATCATTTTAAATGATCTTAATTCCGGGCATGACTCCTTAGCGACGCATACGCGTTTCCTTTTGTTCTGTCGACGGGGCAGTTATCGTTGGGTTGGCGGTAAATTATCAAATTTCAAACAGGTTTCTCTTTTACCGACCGACGATGCATCCACGACTAAGTTCCGTGCATCGCGCAAAATGGCGCCACATTCAAAAGCGACTGTTTTCTCGACGGAGTTATGTGACATTTTACCTCGCCGGTCGGCAAGTGTTTATTCTAAGTTTTCGAAACAACGATAGCCTACTAATTCGCCAATTCGTGGCGTTACTTCCTACACATGAATAATTTTAAGAATTGATATAAAGGTATGTAGTAAATGTCATGTGACATGACTATTTCTGAGATGCGAAGCATAATTTCCTGTGCAGTTAGGTTAGACTATGTAACAAGTAGGTGTAGTTCCTGTAAACTATTTACCATATTTTAATGGACATTTTCAGCCCATTGGTCCAAGGAGGAAATCTCGCAGCCACATTTTTTATCGAGTACATGACGATACAAGCATGGAGGAACAAGCGACACAGGTATTCCTTTGAAATATGGAACTTTGCATTCCTCGATAGAAATTATAAATACATCTGTGTTTCCGTCACTAGAGAGCTATATCTGTCCTTGCATATCATCGTACAATAATTTGCATCCACTGAAGGCCAAGGACTATACCGACAAATATTTCTTTACTGGACGAGGCACTCCAACAAGTAGCTGCAGACCAGCTCCCTGACTAAGAAATAAAGTTAGAAGATTCCCAAAATAACTACAAGTGCTCCAAAAGAAGATTTAAACCATGAGAAACTTACCGACCAATCTACTCGATAGCTGATAACACTACGCAGACGTTGGCGATCTCATTATAATATTCTTCCATTAACCAATTTAAATGATATGATAACTAACATGCAAAGAATATCATATGTTCACTCATTCCATAATATACCGTAACATAATACACCTATACTTCTAAGAATTACTCTAGTCCTAAATACTCTAATTTGTATGTAATATATAAAAGCTAATGTATATTAATTTTCCTGAATTTTGCGAAAATTTCATAACGGAAGCCGCTTGACATGCGCAGAATGGCCGAGTGACGATCCCGAGGAAAATCATGTCAAACTGTCTCGCGTCGTCGGAGGACGCGATACAAAACCGCGTAAATTATACCGTCTATATAACTAAAATTACGACTAGCTTTCGAATATACAGTGTAACATAACGTTCGAAAGCACTCTGTCCAGTTTTTAAATACTTGCGGAAAAGTATCCACGCAAAAGTCGAATAAAGCAAGAAATCATGTCGCTGTTCGCCTGTTGCGTTCGCCGGGTGAGTAACTACACACAATTAAGCTTCAGAAAAGAGATTAATTTCCAAGAACAGCAGATAACGAGACCGTACCAAGTACAAGATGCTTGTAACAAAAATATCTATCAAAGTGATCGTAAGAAAGGACAATGAAACATCAAAAAGAGGCGGAGGATTGACTAGGTTTTAACAAAAGTATCATCTAATAAACCCTCGCGTCCATCCCCAAAATATCCATAAATGACTTCCTACTTTTGGAGACATACTTCTTATTATTGTATGTTAAAAGAAAAAAGAATCTTGTCACTTAAGTAGAGGATTTCATGACATGTTTTCCTTCGCAACTCGCGAGCCATCTCGGATTCTTGAATCGGAAGGACGGTCGCTATTTCATCGCTCTAATCTTCTTTTTTATTTATTGCCAAGCTCCCGCTCAATAGCTGTAAATTTCGAGGGGGGATGAATTTCGCGTTCACCCTTGTCGACGAGGTAGCAAAATCACTAAATCTGTAGTTGGGGGTAAAAACGAAGTGGCCAGGGTTGGCGGGACGGGTTGACGCAGAAGGGGTTGCCAGGGGAGGCCATGGCTCGCTAGGGGTGAATGGTTAAATTTTCCGCTACTTAGCGGATTTCATGCTCGACAATCAAAGGGGTTGCGTCCTTGCTCTAATCAGAGTCGATATTAATAGACGCCGAGAAGTAGTATTTCTCGCTGCTTGTTCGAACCCCGATGAAGTCGGGCGTGCTTTCGATGCGACTGAGCTCCCTTGACTTTCACAATTCTTCCTGACTTTCGAGATTTTCGTAACTTCCGTGAATTTTGAAACTTCTGCCATTTTCGTGTTTTTCGCGGTTTTAGAGATTTTCGATATTTTCACTTCTGCCATTTTCGTGGTTTTCACGATTTTCGCGATTTCTGCCATTTTCATGATTTTCGCGATTTTAGACATTTTCGAGAATTTTACTTCTGCCATTTTCGTGGTTTTTACGATTTTTACGACCTGCCATTTTCGTGTTTTCGCTATTTTAAACATTTTCGTGATTTTTACTTCTGCCATTTTCGTGGTTTTCACGATTTTCATGACATTTGAGATTTTCGCGATTTATGAAATTGTCGAGACTTTGACGAATTCTCCCATTTCTGTGGTTTTCACAATTTTTGCGACTTCTAAGATTTTCACGATTTTTACAATTTTTGCAATTTTCGCGATTTTTGCGATTTTCGCGATGTTTACCCCTTTCGCGATTTATGAAACCTCCTTCCAGGACTCTAGCATGCGAGCGAAATTTTTTGAAGCTTGTAACGATCATCGTCCAGTTTTTCAAATTTTTTCAGAGCCACCATCGAGTGGACGAGACCCGCTTGCAGGCGCTGATAAGGGAGGCTCCTGAGATATCCTGGGAGAACACCCTGGGGGCTCCCAGCGGCGTCCCCCTGGACGAAGACACCAAGGAGCTTCTCAAGACGTGCATGGACGTCTCCGTGCCACCCCCGACCACATTGACAGAACTCATAAAAAGGAGCGAGATTTTCCCCATCAGTTTCCCGATTAACACCGTGCGTTGCGCCGCCCTCAGAGACAGAGGCATACACCACGACATCTTGGAGGTCCGTCTCGAGCCTAAAAATAATTTCCAAATTTGGACAATCATCTTTTAATACATCTTCCACGGTTTCAGGTAAATGCAAACTCGACCTACCCGGTGATCCACGAGTCCATGTTGCCGCTGATCGCAGCCTGGCTTAAATACAAGCGCACTTATGGCAGTAAGGTCGAAAAAGCATTGTACAGAGACATGGGCCTCGTACAATTCATACAACGGCTGCTAGAAAAGAGAGCCGTACAGTTCGTGGGATCTGACGATCGATTTGTATTAATCGACCATTCGACCGGATCGGAAGGATGGGAAAACGTCGGTACGGAAAACGAGAAAGAGCCACTGGTACACCTTCCGTCTTTACTGGGTTATTACGAAACAAAAAAAAATGGATTGTCATCAGGAATATGATATAACGTCCTGTTCACAGGTCCTGGCAAAGTGTCTGTCATACGATGAGATCAAACTCTCCGCTTTGATGGTGATATCCTCGCACTCGGAATTTATAAACGATGGCTCCCGGGAAAATAGAGGAATCGTTACCAACGATTTCGACTCGGTACAAGCTAGAGGAGTGATCATGGGTGTTGTGGGCACTAGGTAATGTCCTACAATTATGAGAATCTGAAATAATAAAATAGAATGTGAATGATATGAATGGTACCACAGAAATAATTTCTTAATTCAAGGCATTATTACTTGGCTGGAATAAACTCAAATAAATTGGACGCAACATTTTCTTCGGTATGGCGGCAATTTACTTCAGTTCATTCGAGCCTAATGATTATTCTTTGAATTGAGGAAGTATTTCATCGGTTCAATGAATTATTTTTTTTTCTCGGCATGTCGACAGACTTATCAGGCCACCTCGTCAGTATTTTTTCATCTTGCAGATTCGAGAGACCGAAGGTGATGGAGTATCAAGATATCCTGGTCACACCTCTGCAGAACAACATGGATAATGGGTAGGTTAAACCTCGAGGGTGTAATGGTAACGAGTACTTTGAAGCGCATTGAGATTACCACGATTTATTCCTTAACAGATACGGCTCTGCTGTTGAAGGAACCACAGAAGAGAAACGTGGACTTAGAGTTCTGTGGGCAAAATTTTACGGCGAGGAGTACCATCTCCTGTACGAGGAAACGATCAGACGTGTTAAGTCTAAGGAAAATAGAAGATACATTCCACTAACGAGCCAAACTATCTTCGACATTGAAAACTACATGAAGAGGACCCTGTTATCAGTCGAGGTGATACTACTGGAAGCGAACACCAGAGCAGAAAAACAGAACACCACGGCATTCATTCACGTTGTGGGATTTGGATTGGGTAAATCTACGCATCTACTTCCTTTTCCTGCATTCGAGACAAATACCCACGGAAAAGAAAAAAGGCATTTCCACATTTGGCAAAGGACAGCATTGCTGATCAAGTTTACTCTTACTTCCAGAATAGTCGCGGCAGCAGCAACAATTTTAGCAACTATACCGAACGTAGACGTAAACATTGGCGAGGTTTCTTTAGAAAAGTGCTTCCTAAGCGATATTCGTGTTTTTTTTTTTTCTGTTGTCCATATAACAACAACGTTAAATTAAAAGTAAAATTTCTTGTTATGGCTGTGAATTCTTTTTCTGCGTGTACGAGCTGTGTCTAATTTCAGGTGTCTGGCGGGTTCTTCAAGACCAAGAATTGTATTTCCTGAAGACCTTCGAGATCGCTATTAGGAAAATGAACAAGAAATTGAAATACGTGTCGGACATCATGTTCTCGTACTTCAGACACCAGAAGTGCGGTGGTGCCGGTAACGGGGATTACCTAGGAAGTACGTACCTCGGATTACAATTAATCTAATATTTTTCGTTAATCGAGAAGTGTACCGCTTAATCTCGAATTACCTTACAGATATCAGGATTCTCTTCGCTCTTAGGGAGCCTCACAGTAGGCTCGTTCGATCCATGGATGCCAACAAATTGCTGGTAGTAACTTACGCCGCCGATGCAAATGCTTTGCCAGGTCTCTACCCCCTTCGAAATATTGTATAAATGAGAAACTATCTTTCCAAGTGAAATTCATATACGATCGCTTCAGGGAATGAATTTTGGAGTGGATACTTAACATCCAGCGGAGATCCTGCAGCAGCGAGCAGCAGTCAGATAGCAGAGCTGCACAACACCAGAATCAATCCACGAGCCTGCGGGGCAAGTTTGCACGTAGCCTCTCCAGCACACGGGATTCTGCACATAGCTGACTTTGCGAGACTCCATCTTGCTTAGGTATATATAGAGTTGAAATATTAATAAGAAAATTAGCCGCGCTAGTTTGACTTAAGGTAACGTGAAAGTGGCATCAAGGAGGTCTCGTTGATATTGAACTTTTCTTCAAACAGGATGTACCGAATCGTTTCAAACTTAATATTGTGAATATGAAGGCCACAATGAAGGTCTTGACATCCATGAAATTTCAATGTTTGAAATTTCTTTATAGGCATCTTTTAAATTTTTGCATAAAAATAAAATTTCAGGAGTGTAAGGACCTTCTTTATACTTTCCATATCCACGTTGTAAGGTTTGAAACGATACGGTATCCCCAGTTCGAAGAAAAGTTTCACGAACGATTGACCCCTCGGATGCCCATAAATAAGGGACTTCTGATTCTCCAGGAACGGGTTGGCCCCACGGGCACCCCGGGGCAGCGAAGACCCTCGCGATCACCACGCAGTCAAAGAAGTCGAAGTGCCGACGTAGACTGTCTAAAAAAATACGCCGAAAGACGGGTCGAAGAGAGGAGACACACTGAGATCGCCGACACAACCAAGCTGGACCCTTCAAAATGGATTCCCCTCCCCAGGAGCATATCGAAGAGTCAAAATCCAAACCGAAAGCAGTCAAGCCAGGCGCAGAGCCAAGAGGAGACAGAAGACCCTAAGGCAGACTCCTCCAGATGGATCCCGATATTATCCCGAAAAATCTCCCCTAAGCAGGAAAGACGAGACTCTCGAGAGGCGCCAGAGAAGCAGGAACGTCCTGTGTCGAAACAACTAGCGGCCAGGAGCCAAAGCACGGATGTAAATTATTGCAGAAAACCCGAACGGTGCATAGAAGAGCGAAGGCACACCGACTTTGGAGAGGGAATGGACATGAATGCAAAATGGCTGAACGCCAGAGGCAAGGACGCTCGTTACGACGTCCTTCTTGCCAGGAATAAGGCGAACCAGAACGATGGGAGCAAAAATGGAAGCACAAGGTGGATGACGTTCACGAAGAACCCTTCGCCATGCCCGATGCCTAAGAGAAACCTAGATAGGAAAACCTCCGTTGTGGAGATCCAGAGAAGAGGAAGCGTGGTCGCAGTCACCATGGGGGAACGTCTTCGAGAGACCAAAATCGAGGACACGTCGGACTGGCAGCCATCTAGAAAATTTTCCTCCCAGACATCCAGAGAGTCGGACATGCCCATGATAGACGAGGACCAGCCTGTCGACCAGGACGGTCAGGGTCAGAAAAGCGAGAGGGATGTTAAGGATGTGCAGGAAGATGGAGTAAATCCAAAGGGAGCCGAGAACCAGGCGGATGCGGACAAGGCCAGCAGCATCGACCAGCGAATCAAGGAACTTTATGATTTCAAAACGGAGAACGAGTGGCCGGTGAGGCTAAATAGTCCTGCGGCTGCCAGAGAAATCACCAGGGCGGATAAGAAGACGAAGGAGGAGCGATACGTCCCCAAGAGAAGGAACAGTCAGGACCTGGAATTTAACGATAGGATGGGGAAGACCAAAGACTCGACTTCCTGCAGAAAGGACGAAAAGCTGGCGGCAGAAGAGGGGGACGTCTTCGAGGACGACAAGGACGAGCGGATGAGGAGGTTCCACGAGAGGCTGAGATTCAGCGAGGATCTGGGAGAGAAAAGGGCTCATGCAAGGGCCAGAAGGGTGCATTCGGATGACTACGACGAGAGACACAGGATCTCACTAACCGATGCCAGAAAATGGAGCAACGAGGAATCTTGCGATAGTCCTGTTCACAGGGAGAGTAAAAGGAACTCCGACGTGAGCGCCAAGTCCAAGGACTCCAAGATCAGCTACGCCGAGATCGACTTCTCGAAGAGGAACTCCAGAACCAGCGATAGCAGCTCCGCCAGCTATGCCACGATCAGTCAAGGAGCTAAACGTGGAAGCATGGACTACAAGCCCACGAAACAAGTCGAACTTCCCCCTAGAAGAGCCTTTAGTCAGACCGAAGAGAGACCCTCCACCCCGATCCCACCTATCGAGTTCAACGACTCGCATCCTGCAGATAAAATCATCTCGATGCGACACAAGGGCGACAACAGTACGCGGTACAAAGTCTACTTGACATAGCCAAAAGACCACTCGGCGTCTCTCGTCGGTGTGAAAATCGAAATCAGGGAACAGCTTCGGGAGACCAAGATTTAAGGTGATACGAAAGTGGCGAAGGGTCAATTGTGATATTTTTTTCTCCAAACTGGGTGTACCGAATCGTTCCAAACTTTACCACGTGAAATTTCAATTTTTATGAAAAATCTTTAAATCGTCTATGAACAAATTAAGAAAAAACAAGCCTGAACTTTCATGAGCGTCGGGACCTTCCTTATAGCCTCTATATTCACGTTGTAAAGTTTGAAACGATTCGGTACGCCCACTTCGGATAAAAGTTTCACGGCTCAGAATTCTTCGACGCCACTTTCATATCACCTTAAGGTGTTCGAGAGATCTGGAATCGACTAGAAAATGAAATTCCGAGTCTGATGAATCTTATTCATAGTCAAAGCTTATAATCACTATCGCGGGACACGCGAGGTCGCTATTTCCTATCACAGTTCTTAAACTCATTCCGGAATCCTCCACCAGCGTCTTTGGCAAAGGAGATCGCCTTGACTCTTTTTCGAGCCGAAGACAGGACTCCGGGGAGAGATCTGCATTCCTTGTTCCGTCCAGCAGCATCCTCGACGTCCTCTCCCTCCACCTTGAGCCTCTTTTGTCCACTGCCATTGACTGGACTATTTACAACGGAGCAGCTCAAAGAATTGCCTGTACTCTGGGGAGATTTCGGGAAGACCCCCGAGGACCTCAATAGAGTTCCTGGAGGGCGAAGCAAGCTTCCGCCTCCTGGACCACTTGGCCCATAATGGCTCCTCGACGCCATCATTGTCGGTGACGTGTTCCGCTTGGTAGAGGAATTCACACTTCCGGTACTGGGGGCGATCATCAACAGATTGTTCCCATTCTTGTCGCAAGTCAAGCGAGGACTTGGATGCTGGATACTCTTTGGCCCGTGGAAATTAATCTCGCATCCTTGGGCGGTGTCGGTCATCTTCTCGTGCTTGAAGAAGGATCCACTGGATTTCGATTGATAGCTCGTTGAATTATGAGCGGAAAATGGTGGTTCACATTTGATCCTGACGTCCTGTTGCTGCAGGCCGTTGCGATCCTGCTTCTTCTGCCACTCCAAGACGTTGCTGAGGAGCTGGATGTACCTGAAGAGAGAACGTTTGCGGGTACCTCGAGAGATAAAGCACCTCGAAGAAGGCGAACCGAGTCTTTACCTTATTGCCATTCGCAGGATCTCGTTCTTCGACAGCTTTTTGTCCGGCGGATGGGTCGGCACCAATTTCCGGAGCTCAGCAAAAGCTCCACTAACGTTTTGCTGCCGCCATCGTTCTCTGCTGTTGGTGAACAACTTCCGCACCCCCGAATTTCCAAGGCGAGGGGAAGGAGACCCTAACCTGCTGCATGTCGTCGAAATGCCGTCTAGCTACAAAACGATTGTCGATCAGAGATGGTGCTTCGAGATGACTACACTGAGAAAAGAAAAACTTCACTGAAACATATATTTTTCACATATACATTGTTGCCTGACTCATATACAATCGCAAGAAACAATTATTTGGTTGAGAAGAAAAATTCTTCATTTAAAAAAAAACTGTTTAATCGATCTGACGTTTCTTTGGACGCATCTGATCGGAATTTTGTTATAGCGATGCGTATTTCTTTCAGTCAACCAACTTCTTTTCTCGGGGTATAGGTGTACGATTTTATTAATACCGCAACCTGCGTAATTATTTTCCGGAAAATCGAGAGATGGTACTTCAATAATCCACCTAAGAAGGTCGAAAAATATTTCTAAGCGGAATTTCGATCCTTTCGCGGGACCAAAATCGATGCACCGTATTCACCGTAATGTTAACTACAACCATGTATGATATTATTAACATCGCCATCGGCGCAACTATTCCTCCCGAAAATCGCTGACATCCTGAATCGTCCGATGTCGTTATCGTAACTAGTACTTTGTATATTAATGGCGTTCGGTCGAAGTGGCAAATTATATATATATACATAATGTTTCCAGTGGTTTAGAGTGGGTATTAAGTGTAAGTAACGGGTCCATTGTGACGATTACAGTAGGGAATAAATGAATAAACTACTTACGGAATTCGCTCGGTCTCTTCTTCTCTTGTGGTCGTCTTCGTCGTCCGTGTCATGGGAATAAAATTCGTCCGACAATGTCGCTTCTTCTTCGGTGTCTCTTGGAGTTTCCGGCGAATCACCGGGCTCTTCTACGAGCTCTCCTTCTCCAGAAAGCAAAGAATCCGCAGGGGAGCTGTTTTCCCTCTCTGCCGAATTTACCCCGTTGCCGTTGCTGCATGTTAACATCGGCTGCAAAAATTAATGTCTCTTGTAATTTAAGGGGACGTGGAAATACCATCCGAGGGGTCAATCGTGCATGAAACTTTTCCCCGAACTGAGCTTACCGAGTCCAGTTTCAGAATTTCATTATTTTCGCCAGTACTCAGTATTTGATACGGAAAAAATTTGCCGGTCGCGAATGTGTTAACAACGTGTACATGAAGACTATAAGGAAGGTCTTGACACTCGGGAAATTTCATTTTGTATAGGAAATTTAAAAAATGACTATAAACAAATTTAAAAAGAATTGAATATTCGTGGATGTCAAGGCCATAGGAATAATTTGTTAATTCAAAGAATCATTATTTCATTCGAGTAAGCTCGAATAAATTGGATGCAACGTTCCTTTCGGAATTCTGCCCATTTATTCGAGTTCATTTCAGCTAAATAATTATTCTTCGAAGTAAGAAAATATTTCTTCGGTGTCATGAATTATTTTTTCCTCAGTCCTCCATATTCACATTGTAAAGTGTGAAATGACCCGGTAGATCGAGGTCGGAGAAAAGTTTCATGAATTTTACAAATTACCGCTCCGATTTTGTACCCATTGGTCCAGTTACGCAATTTCCCTCGAGAAGATATTTCAACCACATTGTCGCTTAGCAAATATTTATTCTACGAGGCTTGCGATATCGTTTTGAAATTATCACTCGCGATAACACTTTCCAAGCATCTCGGGAAAACCGGGAAAATCAATTGTCCTTTATCGAGTTTGTCCTGATTTTTGGAAACTCCACCGGAAGACACGGCCGAGATTTTCTAAATAATTGAATAAACTCGTGATTTTCAATCCAGCGATTGTTGACTGTCGTAACGTTCGGCTATCTTCGCGATAAAACGTTTGTCGCGCATTTTTCAGAGAACTCGACTAATTAGCGAATAAACAATTACCCTACATTGCGTGGAGAGGAAATAGATAGCGCAACTTATCCGAGACTGCCCCTGACATTCAGTAGATACGAGGAGCAGATAATTTATCAGGGCTCGTTCCTTGTTCCCTAGAATGACGTCGTAACAAGCATATTTCAACAATTTAATCCTTAACAATCCACTTTTCACGTATATTTCCCATTAAAAGGGAGCAAGAAGCACTCGAAAATTCGTCCTTCCACCCAGGTCCTTTCAAGAGAGGAGAAGCGTCCCCATCGATTTTTGCGGGAAACTCGATTATTAAAAATTACCATTGCGTTGGCTGTATCTTGGAGAGATGCCGAGTGGACACTTCACTGAACTGATTAATTAAAGAAATAATTAAAAATGTGATAGCCTCTGGAAATTCGACCACGATCACTTGGGACGAAGGCTCGACGTCGGAGGAAAGGGGCGACTACAGAGTCGAAGACTGACGACTTGACAGAAGTGTCGACGTCAACCGAGCTGAATTGACTGGAGATGTGTCCAGCAAGTCCTGGCAACCCCCGGGAAAACGAAATTGGCGAAGGCGGAGCACTGGAAGCTGCGTGGGTGGAGCCGAAGTCCGGGGCCGACCCACTCCGATGCAAACGCAGCATCCCTCTCAGCTGGACCACGGGAGAGAATTCCCTCTCCCAATGCCGAACCAAAACACTTCGATGCAAACGCAGCATCCCTTTCGATCGGGCCATGAGAATGAATTCTTTCTCCCAATGCCGAATCGAAAAACTCCGATGCAAACGCAGCATCCCTCTCAGCTGGACCATGAGAGAGAATTCCCTCCCCCAATGCCGAACCGAAACACTCCGATGCAAATGCAGCATCCCTTTCGACTGGACCATGAGAGAAAATTCTGTCTCCCAATACCGAACCAAAACACTTCGATGCAAATGCAGCATCCCTTTCGACTGGGCCATGAGAATGAATTCTTTCTCCCAATACCGAACCGAAACACTGATGCAAACGCAGCATCCCTCTCAGCTGGACCACAAGAGAGAATTCCCTCTCCCAATGCTGAACCGAAACACTTCGATGCAAACGCAGCATCCCTTTCGACTGGGCCATGAGAATTAATTCTTTCTCCCAATGCTGAACCGAAACACTCAGATGCAATCGCAGCATCTCTCTCAGCTGGACCATGAGAGAGAATTCCCTCCCCCAATGCCGAACCGAAACACTCCAATGCAAACGCGACATCCCTCTTGGCTGAAACACGAGAGAGAAATCCCAATGCCTAACCGAAACCTTAAAACACATATTCCACAATAAATAAATTATGAAATTTCCATTCTCCTTTCTCGGCTTGAAAGTATATCACATCCCCAACACCTTGCATCGGAAAGTGACTTGTAAGCCAAAATTGTGTTGGAGATATAATAAATTAAAAAATTATATGCAATCGACGTCTCCGAGCCAGAAAACCTCGGAAGAGCTACGAGATGTAGGAGGGTTGTTTAATCATTATTCAACCAGTTATTTAATATTCTCCCAGATGTAGACCAACAAATAGCTGCCGACATCTCAGGGTGGAAACCTCGCTAAGGATTTAATCCGCTGCTTTCATACGAAATCAAAACGGATTAAGGATTTTCCTTGCATCGCCACCCCTGCCATTCGTCTCGAATACCGAATAAGAAATGAGGGTCAAACGCCCATTAATAAATTTAAATAAAATAATAATTAGCAACATAGGTGTCGCTGAAAGAGGGGGCCTCTTTAGCATGCATTAGGGGCGGCGGTTCCTTTTTTATTTTCGACGACCCCCTGCAGTCAAGTGGCCACCGGCCACGTGCTGCATTATTGTGACAGTTTGCATGGGGTGATACGGATTTTACGGGGGATGCACCCAGTGTCATCGTAGACCCCGATTAAATCATTATAATATCCTCGAGGATGATCGTTCGAGCGTCATTACGAGCCAATCTGCGTGGGAGAATTCAGAGCGAAAGCCACTCCTAAAAAAAAATGAGCCCCCTCTGCTAAAAAGCGATCTACTCCTAACAATATTAAACCCTTTATTTTCATAAACACCATATCCAAAACTCAGTGTCCCTTTTCCGTCGTCAGATGTAGTTCTAAGAAGGTCCTTTGACCATTCCTTCATCCCTCATCGATAAGATTATCTCATAGTGCCAAGATAGTTAAAGGAAAAGCTATAATATTCCGAAATATGAATTTTTACTTCCCTTTCCTTTATCTTTTCGCCGCTACAAGAGCGGATGCAAGGCTTAAAAATTCAAGGTGAATTATTGTTAAAATCGTAAATTATTAAAATAATAAAATAATCTCCCAGGTTTTTCCTCCACTTGTCGATCGATACTGCTCCGTTCGATCTCGCTCGGACTTATGCATTTAATATCGAATTTCCTTTTCATGGGACAAATAGTGGCCAAACAAAGCACTCCACCGACGGTGTGCCCTAATCGCGCCATAAGTAGGCGAAGTTAAGGCAGCCCTCGTCCGAAGACACGTGCCGACCCTCCATTGTGTCAAACCAGGGTGACTTTTTACGTTTGCAGTGACTCGGATCCCATGCCACATAACTGCATTCGAGTTGGGTGCATAGCTGCCCATTTTGATCGCATTTATGTACGACCGAGTCGCACCAAAGACCCGCCATAAGATGCCGATATAAATGTGCCATATCGCGACATACGAGAATAATTTTCCCCGGATTTACTCATAAACCGATAAATCGCCCCATCGTTAGGTGGAGGTTCGCATGGGGGTTGCAGAGGGTACAAAGTGGTTTCCCACAGGGGTTTGAATCGCGGTTAGACTGGCTCGTGATACTGAATTCAATTTCGAGATTAATGGACCTGATTTCTTTTTCATGGTCACTTTATAGCCTCACCGAAAACCGCCTACAATCATACACCTTTATCATCGTACGAAGGAGCGGAATATTTCTCACCGAACACTCGAAATATTCTACATACACTGATAAGAATGCCCGTGTAAATATACATAATCACTGGTTATTTCAATGCTACAATAAATAAGATTCATTCGGCATCTAAATTAAATTAAAGATAATTCCAATGCAATGTTACATTTAATTCCAGTGAAAGAAATAATACTATCGATATACAATGTTATGTGTGTTTGTACATTTTCTTAATTTGGAATTTTCCCATTCTATCCCTTCTTTTTTATGCGAATGAGGTGTGTTAAAAATGAATGTAAATTCTCATCGATTTTTATCAGTGTACGCAGATCTATCTTAAGAATTATATTTTTTTTGTATCAGACCTTACAGATGTGTTACTCGGGGTACATGTATCTGAAAAATGTAATAATGGTGGAAGTACAATATGGTGGAGTTGCACCCTCGAATTGGAGGCGCATAAAGGGTGTGTCAATAGAAAAGAGGCGTGTCTCTCGGTTTGCGCAGTGTCCCATGAACGTCAACGCGTTTTACCCCCAGAGGTGCGAAGGGGTGAGGGTAAAATCAATTTTCCTTATCGCATCCCACCAGCCGCCCCATATTAATTCCATTACTAGTGTTTGTCTTCTACGTGTGGCCATGCGCGACTTATCGATCGAGAACCAGCATTTCTGGAATTTGGTCCTACAACCCGGCTAAGAGATGTTTAAACAATCACCGAAACCGTCGCATGTCCCTCGATAAATGCAAACTCCCGAACAATGCCGATACACACCGCGGATATTTAAATTTATGCAGAAATTTCGTCGGGTAGATGAATAATAATAATTGGAAATAGTTCTTGATGTCGGTCACTTTAGTCGCACGGTTAATGTTTATTTGGGAAATCGCATTAGTCGTTTGCAGAGGATTTGGACAGGTCTCGTGAGATTTTCTCTGAAACCTCTGGAAAAACAGGACGCCTCGGAAAAGCTGGGAGTGTCTCGTGTCGATAAGGGATGCTCCGCCCTTCGATGCGAAATCCTCGTCCACCCCCGCAGTCTCGTGACTTTAGGGTCAACTTGTTAGCCAGTCGTTGTTTCCGGCATGAAAAATTAATCCCGACAGATTAGGGGCACAAATCGGGGGGGCGATTAATTTTTAAGATGCCGGAAAGCCGAGGGATTAATTTTTAAGGCGCTCTCGAAACGGGGATCACGCTTACCCTTTATTAAAGACTTCGCGAAATACAAGATTGAAAGAAAGAAAAAAGAGGACGGTCAAAGCGACGTATAACGTTCGTTAAAATTTATTCCAAGATACTTTCCGTATGGAAAATTGTACCTACGCATCCAGACAACGTCTTATGCATCGAACAATCGCCTCGCAATTGTTATGTGAAAATATCGCCTTTTCAATTTGCGCAAACAAGCGTACTCGTGTACAATTCCTGTTGCACGGCTCGTACGTCTGAACGTGTTTCCGCAAACATCGTCCTAGAATGTATGTATTTGTACAGCCTTATCTACACATATACGTAGCGATTCGTAATCTCATTATAATTAGAACAGTGCGTAAACGCCAGTCTTACATTCCTATCACGACTAGGTTCTCCTTAAAGCCTCGGAATATTATTTACAATACGACCGCTGTATAACATAACGAGAAATTAAAGACATTTTCACGAGACGATAACCGAAGTGTCATCGCCCCTGATTACAGCCTCCGCTATGAATGACACGAGTCGAAGCGATTTTCCTTTATCAGAGGACATACTGATTCGTATTGATTTGCTTTCGATGGACCTAGACATCCGTTGGGTAATCGACCTCCAAGAAGTCTATCGGATATCTAGGATGTTGATAACCAGAGATAATTGATAAGAAAGAATCAGTGCTCATGGAGCTAATATTCTCTAACGTGGGGAATAACGTGAGCTATGTATTTTACGAGTCATTATACTTAGAGGAATATTGTTCTTAATACTCTTCCGGTGGAACGGTGCACTCTTCAGTCGTATAAAAAAAAAATGCAACGTTTCAATATGCTTATATCACATAGCGCTGGAAAATAATAACTTAGGAGTTTAACATATGCCCACTCTCGATGATTCGTTTGCACACACATCGTTCGCCAAGATCGTCCCAATAAAAATGAAAACGACTGATAACGTCGTTACCCTCCGCGAATCGTTCAGCCTCCATTGTGGAAATGCTTCGTTAATATTTAACAAGCGGGGCTTGTGTCAGTGAAAAGCGAACAGCATGATCAACAAGGGTACTGTAATAATACAGATCATGTACACAGCCGTCCTCGGCTCGCAGGTCGATACCACAACGAATTCCTCGTTCCATTGAGAGTCGTTATCACCCAAAGGCAATTCCAAAACCGCCTTTTCGCCACTGAAAAAATTCAGGGGTAGCGAACACTCTTCGGTCGTGTTTTTGCAAGCGTGAATCGGGTCCGAGGTGTCGTAAACCGTTTTCAAGAGCTCGAACCGTATCCTTATGTAATTCGGCTGTATCTCGTTTTCCGAATTGAAGACGAAAAAGTAATAACCATTCGTGGGCACCCTGAGAAGAGGAACAGAAATGTTTAGTACTCAAAAGTTTACATATTCTGTAAACCGCAGCAATTCTCATACCTGTAGGTGACGGTGTTGGCCAAGGATGCCAAATGGTGATGCTTTTCGAATTTTGGAGTGCACTGTTGATGAGGCGTCAAGGGCAGATTCAAAATGAGGCCCTTGCAATCCAAAAGACGTTCTTCGGAACTGCTGAACGAGCTCCAAAATTCTGAATTGCTTCTGTCATTCAAGGTAGTCTCGTTTACGGTGCCCCTGTCTTCGGCGATGCCGTCTGGATGCAGAAGTCCCTAATGTTTGGACTTGTTTGTAATCGCCGAATCATTAAACGAATAAAAATCCACATAGAAATTGTAATCACCTCCTCGACCGCAGCGTCGGCTTCCGAGTCGTCTTGCGTGAGTTCTTCCCCCAAGGGTGAAGAAAGGATCAGTTCCCTCTTCCTTTTCCTCAGGGTCTTCGAATCCTTAATCACCATAGCTTCGTTTACCATTTTCCTAAGTTTCCCAGCCTTTGCTCGTCCCTCGTCCATCTGATCTACCAACTTTTTAAGGACTGCTTTCCCTCGGTCGCCCAAGGACCCCAGCTTTCCCAGGATTTCCCGAAAAACCTCCCCAGATGCCGTTTCCGGCGCCTCGGACCGATCACTTTCGTTTCCCCCTGGAGATATCTCCGTAGTACTTATCAAATCACTAACAATCGCCTGTTCACTCGTTGACGTTCCTTCCGAAACATTGTCTGGCTCGGTGTACAGAGTAGTAAGGTATTCAAGGGTCGTCGATTGATTTTCCCGATGGATTTCCGGATTTCCCTCGAAATCCTCATTTTTATCCGACCTACTTTCCGCCGGATTGATTTTCAAACCCGAGTCTTTTTTCCTTGTACCCTCTGTGGAGGCTTCGCTCTCAGTTTTGTACGGAAAATCTGCAGATACGACAGGAGGCTTATCGATGTTGGCACTCTCCTTGAAGACCCCCTCGTAATGATGATGAGGGCTTTCCTTCTGTTTCTTCTTAGTCTCCAGAGTTTTCCTAAACAGCTCGGTTAATATACTTCTCATAGCTTTCGCATCCAACTCGTGGCTACTGTAGTGATAAGGAATTGGCAGAGTGTCGTTTTCATTGGGGTTGCTGCTCTGCTGAAGAAACTGAATCCCCTGACGAACCCTCTTCATCTTCTCCGGCTCGTTGCTAGGGTGCTCGTCCTTGGAAAAAAAAAGAAAAAATCAGGGAAATATAAACAAACGTCCGCCACATCGAGCTCTTTAACGGAAAATAACGAGTTTACGATATCGCTGAAAATACCAACGGCAAATAATCCCCGAGCAGTATCAATTTCTCCATTGACTGTGTGGGTCCACCTGACCAAATAGTTACAACGATCACGAGTACTCGACATAAGGTGCAATAACTTCGCGATAAAATGCCGGCATCTCCACAAACGTCCTTCGTTTTATTTGACTGAAATTCACATTATCTTCCTCGATTAAAATCCGACACAAGGAAACTGCGAGGGAAAAACGGACGGCATTTGTTCGTCCACTCCAGGAGAGTCGTCTACCTCAGTATCGTTCCAACCTCTTTGTATCCATTATCGAGTAAATAATTGATGATGCGGCCCAGACTTGGAAAAACGACCGTCAGGATATGTGCAATAACAGTGGCAATTAATTAGACCCGAGAGGGTGTAGGCGCAATGAACGTATCCAGATAAATTGATACCCTCGAGGAACCAATTACCCCGGTGCGTTATTATCTCCCGGGTTATCATAGATGACGATGACCTCCTTAGATGATCGAACTCGTCGCGTAGATTAAATTTAAGCTACCGGGGAGGGGTGAACGCTGAGGAAATAATTATTTAAACGATATCTCACCTCGAGAGTCCCGTTTATGGTAAGTGTATATTAAAATAATTATTTAAACAATATCTCACCTCGAGGGTCCCGTTTACGGTGAGCAGGCCGCGCTCCTGGGCGACCTCGAGGAGCTCCTCCAGCTCCTCGCTGCTGTCATCACCGATAAAGGCGCATTCGTGCAAATGTTTATGACCTCGAATCATAGTTAAAGATGCGCCAGGCCATCTGCAATGACACGGAGTCAGTGATAACGCCCCGGCGAATTTTTTTTTCTTCATCCTTCCGAAGTCTACCTTACACAAGTGGAAACCGTGACGCTGCTTCCTCGGAGTAAGTAGAAGCCCCAGTACTCCTTCATGTCATTCTCCAGAATCAAGTGCCTTGTCATTGACACCGGAATTACCTCCCGTTTCACCTCGGGCACGTCCCTCATGAGATAGGCGTTGAACGTTCCGTTAACCTTGACGACTTGTCGCTGTTAAAAGAAATATATTCATGAATTAAAAACGTGAAAAATCAGCTGCTGAAGGCCGCCAGAGATGCTATCAAAAAAATAACCGTGGACGGCTTCGAATTCGACACTCGCGACACTTCGATATCGCACGTCCTAAAGGACCCTCATCTACGCGGCAGTGATAACAAGGTTATCACAAGAGCGACTTGAGATGAATTCGCGATAGCGGTCCTTTTCGACCTCGGAACATTTTTTTTTCTTTTTTTTATAAATGGAAGGCTACGACTCGCATAACGCTAGATCGTCGGGTAATTGCCACAATGCCAGTACCTGGCACCACGTTGTGGACACTCTGCCATCGATCAGTCTTTGATCGGAAATCGTCAATGGATAAAGTTGTTCGGAGTAAACTCGATATCGCAGATACAGCGGACCCGCCACCAGAATTGCCGGAAGAAATGCCCCTAAAAGGCATAATCGAACCAATCTAATCGGAACCTTGAACCCTGAACTCCTTGGCTGCCAATCTCTGGGTCGAGCACCTTCCTCTATAATAGAAAGTGTAATAAATAGAAACAATTTTTTTTTTTAATAATTTCATACCGATGATATCGAGATAGTTTCGCCGCGTAACGATTCCACCCTCGATGGTATCGTTACTTGCAGTTCTTGTGACAAGTCTTTCTCGATTCCTCGATAAGTTATAACATCTTGATCCCGAGATATGACAAGAGATATCGTAAACAAATGCACAGACTGCTGGATGCATTCCGCGACGATATCAAATACGCGTATCTCCCTCTGGGAATTGCACTACGCATCGCTATAGAAACTGAGAAGATTAATTTCCCTAAAATTCTTATCGATCGAGAGAACCTTTCAGTTCTCATTGGCAAGATTCGAAGACTGCCAGAAGAGGAAATAGTAATTCAGGAAGCAACTAAACCTCCTATTTCTCCGGCAATATATTCGATTTGAACGCGAGGACGCGTGTCTTCCTCTGAAAATAGCGTCATGCGTCGCCATGGAAACCATGAATATAAATCCCAGAATATTATCAACGATCGGCAAGGATTCTTCACTTCTCATTGGCAGGATTAGAAGACTACCAGAAGGGGAAATGTTAGTCCAGGAAGCTGCCGAACCGTCCTATTTCTCCGACAATAAATTCGATAAAAGTGCGAGGTGGCCAATTTAAAGACCCTGACATCACATCTAGCGAAGGTGGTATTCGACGTACGTTGAATAGTTAATTGTTTCCCATGAATAATTCAGGCAATCCCGCTGTACAGAAGCCTGAAAACAAACATAAATCACGGTGCTTCGATGTCACGACCCACCCGCACTTTTCTAAGCGATTTATAAAGAATGTGCCTTTGAAATAAAGACGCCCCGAGTGCATTACTCAATCGGGTGAATAAAATTCTCGACACTCGGTATCTCAGTCGAAGACATGTCATTTAAATGAAGAACCATTCCCGATCGCGTCTAACTGATACAATCCAGATCTAATCGATTCGCCAATAGGACTAAGCAAATATTCCAATCGAAAGTATCCGGTTTATCAGCACTCGGAAGCTCTCAGAATTCGATCTTGATTGTACAGATTGACGTAAAGGAGGAGTTTATTTCCCGCCGGTTAAAAAATTTTCCACAGCCATCCCGGCAGTCTTTAAAGAATCTTAATGCCATCGCAGGTAAAAATGAAAAACCTATCGGTGTAAATACCATTTGTACCATCGAAGGTAGAAATAAAAAACCTATCGAGTATACTGTCAACTCGTAGAGGTTAAAATATTATTTATTCTATCGAAGGTAGGAATTAAACATCTACCGAGTATATTGTCAACACATAGCGGTTAAAATATTATTTATTCTATCGAAGATAAAAATTAAAAACCTACCGAGTATACTATCAACTCGTAGCGGTGTCGTAGGCATGGTGAACAGCGCGTGGGCTGTTGCTTTCACGAGGCCTGGCACTGATATATCGGCGGGTCGTTACATCGACATGTTACTTCTCCGTGACAAAAGCGAGGAAAGTGACGAGAGATATACACTGTCACTCGAAATCGAAGGAAAACACATCGGGCGAGTATAATGGAGTGCGCTCATAAGGCCACGCAAAGTCCACGCGTTTCCTCGGGCGAGTTTACGTTCTCCCACGTGGAGGCCCGTCTACTCGTCTTCGTACTTGATTTCACTTTTATCCTCGTCCCGACTTCGGAGGAATCCCTCCTATTCGAGAAAAAAAAAAAGTCCCCGGCCTCGGTAACTTCGAATACTTCAGAGAAAGAAAAAGAGTTCCCGACCTTCGTCGCCGATTCTCGACCGCTTCTGTAACGAAAATCGAAGCACGCTATTAGGACAAGATTTTTCGCCGCCCTTTGAACCGTCTCAGTTGAAATCAACTCTGTACATTGAGGAAGTGAGAAAGGGTCATCCCATTTTCGAGCCATTAACATTTTTCGGTGGGCGTTGAGTAATGCTCTGTCAGTGGGCGACCATGCAATTGAACGATTATATTCCTTCGATTCGGCGCATTCTATCGAGCTTTTGAAAAAAGCAATTTATTTCTAGGTAACTAGTTCGAGGAATTGTCAGCTTATCACTCAGCAGGAGTCTTATCGCTCACAGGTCTGTTAATGAGAAAATCCCACTATTAGCCATCTATTTGTGCAATCATCGCGCTGAGGGGATACATTTGTTTATCAGGGCGTTTAGAGTGAATCAGACCAAATCCTTGATCATTTTCGTTGTATCGCTGTCAGGGGTTGATCAACGTCGAGTATCTCTGTTATCTCTTAATTACACTTGATTGCGATCGACTTTATCTGGGCTCTCGAGGTAAAACCGGGTGTAATCTAATATTCAATTTATCCAACGTTTTTGGAACAACGTCTCGACCTGGATTTTCTATTTCTGAGCAAAGACGTGTAAATTAATCCCCGCGGTTTATTTTTATATTTAACGTCGAGGTACTTACTATTTCGGGTACCGAATAAAGAGAGGTACTCGAGCGCTAATTGCAAATTGTAGCTCGGCCCCGGCGAGGGACGGCGCGACCCTGAAGACGGCCGACACGTGTCTTCAACAAAAAAGACGCAGATTAAACTTCAATTACGCTTCTTTTCTCTAGATACGCTTCTTTCCTCGGAGGAAAAGGAAACCTGGGGTGGACGCGCATCGTCCGATATCGAAAGAACGACTGAGCGGTGCTCGGACTGTCTCGAGACTTGTATCACTTCCTTATCAAGTCATAATACTCGCGGGATAAACGCCGATTAGCGCTTACTGTTTACACTGGATTCAACTATTGGGATCTAACAGCGGAATCCTTACCGCTCCAATTACGCCTAATCACCGTGAAAATATCCTTTTCCCGATTAATAAATCACCGGAGAAATTTCTCGGTAAAATCGCACCTCCTTAAATGCACATCCTTATATACTCTCAGAATGCGTTTTACGTCAGGGTCCCATTATTCCCACTTTAGAGAATCCCGCTGTACTACTATCGAATCTATGATAAGTATGTTTACTCGCAACAGCCGCACAAAAGACCCTGTATCATGCTCTATTTGTATAATTCCGTTTCAAGGGAAATATACAATACCTTGAACGCAATGAGGAATATACGTTTTTTGTTGGGAAAAGGGCTATTTATTGCACATCTAAGTGCTCGAGTCCAATTGAACATTAGATGCTGTACATCTTGCTCGTTGGGAACTAATCATTACTTAATCGCTATATAATCCATTTACATTTCTCGAAATTATTTATGCCGAGAGCGACTCTTGCCCTCCCGAGAACTGCTCGATTTCTCTTTCTCTCCGCGCCGTCGTTTATTCAGGGGATTCCTAGGATCGTAAATCTCAAACCAGTCGTCATCTTTGGTGCTGGCGTCTTTAGCTAACACAGGTGTTTTTTCTTCGCAATGCAGTACATGGGTCATCCATGACTCGTCATTTGGATCGTCCTCCTCGGGTGCTTCGGTAACTTTCTTCTCGTCACTTAACGACTCACTGTCGACTTGCTCCTTAGCACTTTGAAGCTTATTTTTGAATTTCATCAACATTTGAAGAGTAAAGTCTTCACGCGATGCTCCTTAAAGTGACAAGTAAATTGTAAACGACTGCTAGTTAAAAAATAAATACAATAATAAATGTTCAATATACCTTTCTTAGGAACCTTCGACTTAGCTTCCTTGTATTTTTCTTGAGTCTTCAAATATTCCTTTACGAGTCCTGTCTTCTCCTCCTTCTTCGCTTCCTCTTCGATTTTCACTTTTTCACTGGCTTCCTTAGCTCTTTTCTCGTCTCGAACTCCTCGTTTCAAATCGCGAATCTCCTTTCTTATTGCTTCCCTGTTTTATTTTTTATTTTATAGATATATTGGAATTACTCGTCAACATAGAATCATGTTTACTTACGCTTTCTTTCTTCGTTCATCCACTCGATCCTTTCCTAAATAGTATTCTTCATCCGATTCATTTCCAGCTTCCTTCTGATCGGTTTCGTAATCTTTACCCTTCTTGGTACTAGAAGTGCTTTTCGTATCTTTCAATTTATTCATAATCCTTTGTTTCATTTCCCTGGGAAAAGAAGATAAGCGTGTGTTACATTTTGCCTCGTATAAAAAGAATCTGTAAACTTACTCCTTTTCCTTTTTCTTTATTTCTAATTCCTCCGTTGTCAATTCCTCATCTCCGCTTTCCCAATCGCTGCTTCGATCTTCTCTTTTCTTTTTACTCGGTGGCCCGTGAGGCTCTATTGCAGGCTGTGAACTTAATTTTGGATCCATCAAATTATCGTGAGCAGATTTGCCCTTGCCACTCAATTGTTTGTTTAACACAGTGGATTCTTCTTCATCTTCCTCGGCTTCCTCTCCAAAAGACAAGAGATTGAAGTTTCTGAGCCAAGAAACTTAATTAGCAACCTAGCATGAGTTGTCAATATTTAAAAAAATACTTCGAAAATAACTATTTAAATACATGTATCTTTTCTTAAATACTAGTCTTACTTCACAGCTGATGGTTTCTCTTTCTTTTTTAATTTAACTTCCTCGTCCTCTTTTGGAACCGTTCTGGGTTGAATATCTTCAAAAGGATTACTTAAGATTTCAGTACCAGAAATTTTCTGAGGATAATGTGGTCGATCGTTCTGAAATACCAAATGAAGATTATATACCTCATTAATTTTCTCATTTCTTATAAATTTGTACACGGGTAATACCTGGTCAACAAGACCCTCTTCAAGTTTAAGCATATTATACAATGTTTCTCCTGTCACCTTCCCAAATATTGTATGCTTATTCTGTAATTCTGGTGTCGCACCAAGAGTGAAAAAAAATTGGGATCCGTTATCGTCTTTACCAGCATTTGCCATAGCCAGTAACCCTCTGCGGCAGAAACGTAACCTCGTATGAAATTCATCCTGAAACAAGATTTACATAAAACTCCTTTCCAACTAAACATATGTTCAATTATTCAATCACCATACTTTGAAAGGCTGCCCATAGATGCTTTCTCCACCTTCTCCAGTTCCCGTAGGATCTCCACCCTGAACGATAAAACCTTTCACGACTCTATGAAAAATAGTGTCGTTGTAATATCCTTCCATACATAACTGAATAAAATTTCTGCAAGCTTTCGGAGCCTCCTTCGTCCAAAGCTCCAAATCAATGTCCCCAACTGTTGTCTTCATGACAACCTGTTTAATGTAACAAATATATAAATGAAATTCGTACCTTTTAGGTTAGAATTATATAGTATTAAATACTTTTCATAACCTACCTTCCCTGTCGTCGGGGGTTCCTGGATATAAATGTTACTCATCTTCCCGAGTTGTCAATTACATTTACAAAGTAATTGGGCAATTAAACACCTTTTAATGCCAGTTTTTATGAACTACTGTAAACATATCCGTCACATACTGCACTCAGGTTAAATAAATTTATTTATAATCCCCACAGCGCAACGGAAAATGGTCGATGTAAAGAGAAGTAAAGAATATCTACACACCATGTTTCGTTACCATCACAAACCGCTTTTACCCAACGGACGTATGTACACTGAAACTATTCCACATTTAACATAATCGACATTGATCGACGTCGATAAAAAAGATTTTTCCAAATACCTATGTTGCCGACGTTCGTCAACTAAATCTTTACAGCGTGACTTTATATTACCATCATTTTGGCATAGCAGCGCATAAGACACTTTTTTTACCTTTATCCTGTTCAAATGCCAGTTTATCGATTACCAGAGTGTTTTAAATTGTCGTACAATTGTCATGACACTTTCGTATCTCATATTAGAGCCTTCAATAATTGTATATTGATCGAAATTTGAGAGCTCGGCGCCATTTGGTTCTGGTCTAAGCTAAATCAAAAATGTCTTTCAGAAAAATTTGGAAAGTGTCAGAATAATTCCTAGATGCTCACGAGTCATGTATCAAAGTTTCAGACGTTTCGATCCCAATGCCCTTAAAAGAAAAAGTATGTTATTCGAATCGACTGATTTGAGGGGGGTTTCACTTCACCTTAAGCACGCCTGGAATTGAATGGTATTGATAAAACAAAACTTGCGCCTTAGTCCAGACTCGTGTATATTTAAATGCCGTTCCACTTCCAGTCCACCGGGGCTACAGTGGCAGCGCGTGCGACGAAATTTTCACGTTGTAGAAAAGAAAAGAAAAGTAACAATCCTCCAATACCCATGGAAAAATAATTTAACTGGTAAGGGAATAATGGCGCGCGAAGAACGCTTCGACATCTTCTACGAAAAGGCGAAAGTCCCTCGAATGAACCCCGTGCCATCGGTTCTTTTGAAGGACGAGAGGCACTATCGAAATACACTTAGGAAATTCCGAGGACAAAGAGGAAAATTGGAAGAACTACCAGCCGTGGCCCGGAAAGTTGAAAAGCTCTCCCGACAGATCAACCCGAACGAACAGGTGGAATATCCGTTCACTTACAAGCCCATTCTCCCAAAATCTTACTACATCTCAAAATTACGAGACTGGGCAAGGGAAATCCCCATCGTAGGATTATTGCCCCACTGGGAGAGCAGCATTCAAGACCTGGTTCCAATAGAAATCCGAAAAAGACGTGCCGAAATGTTCGAGGCCCTTCTGGAGGAAACCAAGGGAATGTACAACAACGTGATGAGAGATTTTGGAATCCGAAGCATAATCGGCGAAGAAGAGGACCTGGAAAAATCGGAAAGATCTGCTGAGCCGACAATCGTGAAGGATTACCGTTGCTTGCCCCGTAGTTTGTTTCTGAAACGGCGCTCTTTATTGGCGAAAAATTACTTCCTCTTTCACAGCCTGATGCAGACCATAATGGCGAAGGCAAGTTTGAATCTCCCGCCAATGGTCTTCGACTTCTCTCGTTACCGCTCTCTAGGCTTGCTGAGTCTAGCGGAGTTCCAGGATTCCCTGACCAAGGATCTGAGAAGAGGCGCCTTGGTGATCAGAAACCATTATTACAATGAAATAGTTAGGGTGATGTCAAGGTTGGGCCGTTTAAGAGACATTCCCGCCGAGAAGAGGACGCGCTTCGTGCGGGGCGCAACCCAATTATTCGTGCAGCAAATTATAAATATCATGATAAATACGATCAATCGCATGATCGCGGTCCTGGCCGATGCGAAGACCTGTCCTCTGTTTGACCTGCATCTTCTCTGCGAGGAGGAAGACCTTATCGTGTTACCTGGCGTCGAAGACATTTATTTGATCCTCCACCAGATCATCGACGGGGTGCCGATGATCGCCCAAGACTTGATCTCCTTCGAGGAGTGGCTAGGAATGGAAAGCGAAAAAGAGTACGTAGAAGTGAAGCTGCCGGCCTGGTTTACCGAATCCTCGCATGAGAAACTAGAAGAGGTCTTAAACGACATGTTTGGTCCCCTGATCGAGTACCTAGACATCGTCAACGATCGTTTTTCCACCCTGACCTCGTCGGAGACTCGAATCAAAATGGCGGACCTGATCTCCGAGCGACGACCTTTCGAGACATACTGCAAGCACGTAGAGCGTTTCCGTTTCATTTTAAAAGAAATTACTCCAATGGTGAGTAACGTTTATTACGACATAGGAAAGCTGAGACAGGAGCCCGCAAAGGAGACTCTGAAGAAGAAGGCCTTGGACTTTATCGAAGCCTTGATAGGAGAGGCAGTGGCTTATCAGAAGGACTGGAACCAGACGATCTGCTCGGATTTCGAGGAGCTGAAAGCTCAAGCTTTGAATATTCCAAACGAAGTGAAAGACCTCTTCGAGCTTAGCGAGTACATTTCTTACGCTTCTACGGAGCTTTTAGATGAACTGCGCCTCAAAGTGGTGGAATCGATTCGTATGACGAGTGCTCTGCTCCGAATTGCAACCTTGACGGACGATCACCTGGAGTTGAACAGGCAGACGATAAACTGGCTGGAGCTGATAAAGCCGGTGTTCGATCGCCACAGTGTCCTGTGCGAAGCCATGAAGAGCGAATTAGAGGACGAACTACAGAGGAAGGTAGCGGTACTTAATGAAAAAGCCGACGAACTAACGCCCAAATTGACGATCCTCAACGAGATGGACGATGCCAGGAGGGTGAGGGAATACATGAACGACCTGCGAGTTCTTGTAAAGGAGACCGAAGGACTCGAAGAGGGCATCGAGGAGATCAACGCCGAGGAGCGGCTCTTTAAGTTCCCCGAGACTATCTTCCCGAAAGTTGTCGATATTCGAGAGACGATAATGTCCTTTTACACGCTTAATTATTTAATTTGCCAGTGGCAGAGGGACCACGCAGTTTGGCTCGATGGTCCCTTCGAGTATTTAGACGCCGATGTCATCAAAGAAAGGTCCCTGTATTACGCTGAAGAGTTCGCACAAATTGGCAGGACCTACAAAGCCAAAATCAAGGCTGACAGCGGGACGAACAAACCCTTCAAGTTCTCTGGAGTACCGGATGACCCTGACCTCAGTCAACAGCCTGCTCCTGTGAAACTGTGCTGGCAGACCCTGAAGGAGGTGAACGATTTCAAGGGATACGTGGACCTGGCCGTGTGCATGTGCAATGCGGCTCTCGTTAAAAGACACTGGGACGCAATGTCAGAGATAGCTGGCTTCGACTTGACGCCGGATGCTGGGACGACCCTGAAGAAGATAATAGCACTTGACATTATGCACCACGTGGAGAAGTTCCAAGGCATAAGCATCGGAGCTGACAAGGAACTAGCTCTAGAACGCCAGCTTGGTGCTATGATAAAAGAATGGGATACCATCGAATTTCCTGCAACGGTCCATGAAAAGTCCGGATTGACGATTTTAACCGAGTCGTATGACGTTGACATCCTTCTGGAGGAGCAGCTCGTCAAGGTGCAGGAGATGCGAGGCTCCTTCTTCGTCAGACCCATCGAAACCGAGGTCCTGGATTTTCTGGGCTCTCTGATGAGAATCCAGAAAACCATGGACGAGTGGTCCAGGGTCCAGGAAACGTGGCTTCGATTGTACCCTGTCTTCTGCGACGACTCCACAGCTGTTGGGTTAGCTAGGGAGAAGACCGCATTTTTCCAAGTCAAAGACACCTTGCAAAGCTCTGCAGCAGAATTGTCCGGTGCTCTCATCTTTGAGGTGGTTGGAAAATCCCCAAAGTACCTGGACAGCATGTTAGAAGCTGGCTACATTCTCGAAGTCGTCCATGAAGGAGTGCGAGCTTACCTCGAGGAAGCTAGGCTCCGTTTCAGCAGATTCTTCCTTCTCTCGGACGAAGAGATGATGAAAGTCCTGTTCGAGGTGGACGGCCCAAAATTGGTGCAGCCTTATTTGAAGAAGTGCTTTCGAAGCATCGAAAAGCTTGGGCTGGACGAGAAATCCCAGGTGCAATCGATCATCGGCCCTCGTGATGAAGAATTGCAGCTGCAGAAGTGCATCCCTACGACTGGAACATCCAAATGCATAGAAATTTGGCTGCCAGAGTTGGAACGGGAAATGAAGAACTCTCTACGGAGGAAACTCGTGGAGTGCAAGGAACTCTTCAACAGGAAGCTCTTGATCGACTACGTGACGTCATTTCCGAGCATGATCGTCATTTGCATCCTGCGGATGTACTGGACCTCCGCCATCCATTACTGCTTCCTCTCTTCTGATCCTGCAACTTTGAAGTCGTACCGCGAAGAAGAGTCCAAACACCTCGCCGATATGATACAAAGTCTTCATCTTTCTCTCGACGGAAGAACAAGAATCGTCATTTCCATCCTCATAACTGTCGCGATCGATCAGATCGAGACCATCGACATGCTAATTGATAAGAACGTAACGAAGGACCTCGACTTCTACTGGAAGTCGCAGCTGAGATTTTATTACCAGGACGAGGTCAACGTTTCAATGATTAAGACGACGATTACCTATGGCTATGAATTCACCTGCATCGAGGACTGCTTCGTTCGAACTTCATTGACCGATAGAGGTATCTGCACCCTGATGGAAGCTTATCGTCAGTGTCATTACACGGCCATGACTGGGTCTTCAAGTACCGGAAAAGCAGAGAGCATCAAGGCCCTTGGAAACGCCATCGCCCTAAACTTCCTTCTCTTCAACTGCACCGAAAACCTCGACCTTCGATCCTTAGAGCGAATACTGAAAGGCCTCGTTTCCTGCGGTGCCTGGATTTACCTGAAAAATTTCGACCTGATTAACGTAGACGTACTGTCCATTATCAGTGAACAGTTGGTTCGCATCAGGCAAGCGATATGTTCCAAATCGAGCTCCATGAACTTCGGGGGAATCGAGTTGAACATCAACCCCAGAGCTTACATCTGTGTTGGAATTAGTCCTGGACATCCTGGCCGATCGGTCTTATCAGACAACTTGAAGATTCTCTTCAGGACGGTCTCTATATCCGTTCCCGACCTGAAGAAGATCTGCGAAGTGCATCTCGTAGCAGCAGGCTTCTCTGATGCCAAACCACTGGCAGGAAAAATGTCAAAGATTCAGGAATTGTCTTCCAAATACTTATCAGAAACTTACCGTCATCACTTTGGAGTTAGATCGTTGAAGACTGTCATCAAGAATGCGATTCGTCTGAAGATTTCTTCTGATGTCAAAAATGAAAACGAGATAATTCTACGATCTCTAATGGGTGTAAATTTACCGATGTTAACGAAGGAAGATGCACTTCTTTTCCAAGGATTCCTTCGAGATACTTTCCCGAATGTCGTGATGACTTCTCCGAGAAATTCTGAATTTCTCCACGCCTTCGCCGAATCCTGTAAAAAGAGGGAGGTAATCTGTCACGAAAATTTGACTCCAAAAGCTCTGGAAATTCTGGAAACAATGAGGACTCGTCATTCACTGTTAATCGTCGGTGAGCCATTTGGGGGGAAAACGACAATTCTGCAGACTCTTGCAGACACGTTGTGTTATTTGTATCAGCAAGGAAATACCGAAATAGGGAGTCTCGTGAAATACGAGACGATAAATCCAAAGGCCCTGAGTTTTGAGAGATTATTTGGCTTTATCAACCCGAAATCGAAAGAATGGAACGAAGGGATTCTTCCCAATACTTTTCGCATCTTCGCAGAGGCTGAAGAGCTTCATAAGAAGTGGATGATCCTCGACGGTCCCGTGGATAACATTTGGATGGACGCTTTAAGTACCACTCTGGACGACAATAAAACTTTGAAATTAAATTCTGGAGAAACGATATTTATTTCCCCCTCGACCTCGATTATAATCGAGACGATGGACCTAGTCGACACTTCACCTGGCACTGTATCAAGATGTGGTGTGATACACATCGACTCAAAGATCGTGGGCTGGAAGCCATTCGTGAAATCCTGGATAGCTTCAAACAGGACCAGCGAATCACACGAGAAGATTCTGAAGACGCTCTTCAACTGGTCCCTGGAGCCCAGTTTGAGTTTTATTTCGAAAAATTGCACGACCAGAACCCCTCTGGGAGAGATTCAGCTGGTGAAGTCGATGTTGGACCTCTTCGGGATATACATACAGGACGGACTCGAAGAGAACTCTGAAGACACCGAGAAGAGTTCCCACCTTGTGACCTGGTGCCAGGCTGCCACGATTTTGTCCACAGTTTGGGGTCTCGCAGGCCATTTGGACGGAAAATCTCAGAGCGATTTCGATTGCTTCTACGTGTCCCTTTGGACCGGAAAGAACCCACTTCATCCACTTCCAGAGATGGTGAAGCTCTTCGAAATGGCCCTTCCCACGGAAGGATCGTTGCAGGATAACGTCTACTTGTTCAAGGGAAGCGGATGTTGGAGGTACTGGGGGGAGTACCTGAAGATCGAGCAAATAGCAGAGGCCTCAGAGATGAAGAAGACCGTGATCCCCACGGTCGACACCTTGAAGTGCTCCGACGTGTTCCTTCGTCACGTGAAGCACAGGAAACCCTTTCTGCTCTGCGGCGACTCCGCAGTGGGGAAGACTTCCTGCCTCTACGATTTACTCGCAAACAAATTATCTTCGGAAGAATATTTAACCAATTTCCTAAACTTCACTCCAGATACGACGGCGGATGAAGCTCAGAAACTGATCCTTTCAAGAATGAGCAGACTCAGGAAAGGATACTTTGGGGCTCCAAAAATGAAGTTCTGCCTGAACGTCATCGACGACTTAAACAGGGCGAAGAAAGACACCTATGGATCGCAATCAGCGGTTGAATTAATTCGCCAGTTCATGGATCACGAGTACTGGTTCGACCTGAAGAAGCCCTCGAAGATATACATGTCCGACGTGTTGTTCTTATCAGCTCTCACTTTGGGAGGTCCCGAAGATAAAATTTCCCCAAGATTTTTGCGACACTTCAGCGTGTATTTCTTCAACTCCCCCTCCAAGGACAGCATCTTCAGGATCTTCTCGAATCTCTTAAACGAAGGGCTGATGAGAAACCTCTTCGCCCCCGACATCATCAGCAGCGTCAACAGCATAGCTTCGGCGTCGATGGAAGTTTATTTATCTGCAGTTGAAAAATTGTTGCCGGTCCCTGGAAAATTAGAGTATCGGTTCAATCTCAGAGATATGTCGAAGATCATGGAGGGATGCTGCTTGATTCAAAAAGAGTCCGTGGATACCAAAATTGCGTTTCTTCGTCTGTGGGTGCACGAGGCGTTGCGAGTCTTCAGCGACCGAATTGCCGAAGAGGAGGATAAGGAATGGGTGTTCCAGAAGATAAAGGAGTCTGCCATTTCGAACTTCAAGGACCCCTTCGAGTCCGCCTTCGACCATCTTCCCAAGTTTTCAAACAGCCTTACCAAGGAAAGCTTCCAAAGCTTGGTCTTCTGCAACCTGGCGGACGTGAATAAAAATTTGAAGTACCGAAGATACGAAGAACTGAGCAAGTTCGAGATCTTGAAGAACAGGTGCTTAGCCTACCTGAACGAGTACAATGAAACCTCGAAAGTGAAACTGAACATCCTTCCTGTTCGATACGCTTTGGAGCACCTGGTGAGAATCTGCAGAGTCCTGGTGATTCGTGGAGGAAGTTTGCTGATGATCAGCGTTGGAGGATGTGGAGGAAAGACCCTGACGAAGCTAGCCGCTCATATAGAAAGACAGTACTTCTTCGAGGTGGCCGTTACTCCATTGTACGACTCGAACTCGTGGAAGCAGGACCTGAAGATGATTCTGAGGAAGTGCGGAGCAGAGGAGAAGGACGTGACGTTCCTCTTGACGGAGAAACAGATCAGAAGAGAATTTCTTCAGGATATAGACAGTCTTTTGACGACAGGAGAAGTGTTGGACCTCTTCACCCTGGAAGAGAAGCAGAAGATAGTGGAGATGACCAGAATGAACGCCCAGAAGGGTGACCAGAATCTGGACATGAGCTTTCAGGAGGTGATGGACTACTTCATAGCTCGCTGCAGAGAGAAGCTTCACTTCGTGCTCTGCTTCAGCCCGATAAACGACACCTTGAGGAAGCACCTGCTCTCCTATCCCAGTCTAGTCGATTATTGCTTCATAAACCAGCTGCAACCTTGGCCGGAAGAGGCTCTAGAAGACGCAGCTTCAACCTGGATGAAGGAAATGAACCTCTCGGAAGACCTCAAGTCCGCTTCGGTGATATCCTTGAAGTACTTCTTCACCCGAGCTAAAGAGATCAGCGAGAAACATTACACCTCCTCCAAGCACCTGTACCCACCTTCTTCGGCTTTCTTCCACATGTTGCGACTCTTCGGCAACTTACTGTCCAACAGACGCGAGGAGATCACCGCGAAAAGGAATCGCTTCTTGAATGGTCTGGAAAAGCTGGAACTGGCAGAGCGACAAGTGGCCGACATGCAGACCATGTTGATGAAGTTGAAGCCTCAGCTAGAATTATCGGCAGAACAGACGGCGACCACGATGAAGGAGATCGAGAGGGAGAACCTGACGATAGAAAAAGCAACGGTCGTGGTCAAGCAGGAAGAGGAAATAGCCAACAAAAAGGCGGAAGTTGCAGGTATCCTGAAGGCCGAATGCGAGGCCGAGCTTGCCGTGGCCATTCCCATCTTGGAAGATGCCGTGGCCGCCCTGAACACCCTCAAACCCACCGACATAACCCTGGTGAAGGCCATGAAGAACCCTCCAGATACCATAAAGCTCGTCCTGGCTGCAGTCTGCGTCATCCTCGGCGTTTCTCCCGACAAGTCCATAGATCCTGAGAGCGGCAAAAAGATCGTCGACTTCTGGGGGCCCACCAAACGCGTCCTCGGCGACATGAACTTCCTGCAGGTCCTGAAAGACTTCGACAAGGACAACATACCGTCTCATCAGATGAACGTCATCAAGAGGACTTACATCACGGATAAAAACTTCGTACCCCACGTGGTGGCTAAGGCTTCGAGTGCTGCCGAAGGACTCTGTAAATGGGTCCTGGCGATGGTCTCCTATGACGAAGTGGCCAAAGTCGTGGCCCCGAAGAAGGAGAAGCTGATGGCCGCCCAGAAGGAGTGCGACGAGGCCGGGGACTTTCTCAATGAAAAAAGGAAAACTTTAGCCGCCTTGAACGCGAAACTGGAGAACCTTAACAGTAGTCTTAGAGAGACTTTGAACAGGAAACTCACCCTGGAAAAAGAAGTCGCCGAGTGTACCAGGAAGATGGTCAAGGCTGAGAGCCTGATCGTGAGCCTTGGAGGTGAGAAAACCAGGTGGACGAGGTCGGCGAAGATGCTGAAGACCTCTTTCGATAACATCCTGGGGGACGTTCTGCTATCCTGCGGGATAATTGGCTGCCTGGCGTCTTTCGGAAAGGATCTTAGGCAGGATTGTGAACAGGAATGGAGGTCCTTCATCCTAGACTCGAAGATACCTCACACGTTCGACTTCGACATTGTTGAACTTTTCGGCTCGGAGGTCAAGCTGAATTCCTGGCACCTAAATGGCCTCTCGAGAAATCGATTCATTTTGGAAAACGCAGTTATCATGGAGAAGTCCTTGATGTGGCCTCTTCTAATAGACCCCCAAAATCATGCCAGTGATTGGATTAAGGAGACGGAGAAATATAACGATCTCGTTCTTGCCAAAACTTCGGACAGGAATTTTGTAAATGCACTTCGGAGGTCCATGGAAAAAGGGAGGCCGGTATTGTTGGAAAATGTCCAGGAGGGATTGGAGAGCATTTTGAAGCCGATACTCGCGAAGGATGTCTTCCAAATTGGGGAGAACTATTTTCTGAAAATCGGGGAAAACGAGTTTCACTACTCGAATAATTTTCGCCTCTACCTCGTTTCGAAAATCAGGTGTCCTTGCTATTCACCCGACGTGTACAGTAAAGTTACAGTGATTGATTTCTCCTTGCCCGTCGAAGCTCTTCGGGATAGACTTTTAGACATCGTCGCCTCGAGAGAGAAACCTGAACTTCAGGAGAAATTTGAAAAAGTGCGAATTGAGGACGCTGATAATAGGAAATCACTGGGGCAGGCTGAAAATAACGTTTTGATTACGCTGTCCACGTCGGATATAAACGTCCTTGAAGATGAGAATGCTATTCGAATTTTGGAGGCTTTCAAAAATATGACGATTCGCGTGGACGCCATGAAAGAAGCCGCGAAAATAGTGGAAAAGCAGGTCGAGGAATGCCGGAAAATCTATGAAGAATTTTGCGAATATTGCGCGATTATGTTCGGCACGATTTCCAATCTCTCGAGGGTGGACTTCATGTACCAGTTTTCGCTTTCCTGGCTGATAAGGGTTTACGTTACTTCCATCGAGATATCGAAAAAGAGCCCCTTGATCGAGAAACGCCTGATGAACCTCAGAGCTTCCTTTACCAAAAGTCTTCGTAGCGCGATCCAAAGGACGCTTTTCGAAGAGCATAAGCTTCTTTACTCGTTTCTCCTTCATTCTACGATCCTCCTCCATGAGAAGAAGATCTCGAAAGAAGAATTGGATTTTTTAGCGAGCGATGAGAAATTTCCCACGGAAACGCCGAATCCTTTCTCGGAATGGCTGCCTGAAAAATCCTGGAGTCAAATTTCCCGAGCGAGTTCGACTTTGCCGATTTTTCGGGAACTCGGAAATCACATTTGCGCTGAAAATCGACCCTGGAAGGAGTTTTACGATGCAAAGGACCCTCAAAACCTTCCATTGCCGGGAATTTGGGAGGAGAAACTGACCTCGTTCCAGAAATTACTGATCTTGAAAATGATACGCCCTGATAGAGTCGTTTCGAAAGTCGAAAAATTCTTGGAGGCTGAATTGGGGGAAGATTATATTTCCCTACCAAATTTTGACTTATCTTCTTCCTACTCGGAATCTACTTGTTTAACTCCTCTGATATTCCTTCTTCCCTCTTATTCGGATCCTGTGGAGATGGTTCGGGATTTATCAAAAAAGGTCGGTCATTCCTCGAGATTCGTGGTTCTCTCTATGGGGAAAGGTCTGGAAGATAAAGCGATGGATCTTATCAGGAAGGGCGAAAAATCCGGATGGTGGATATTCCTTCAAAATTGTCATCTCGTTCTGCCTTCGCTGGCAGAAATCGGAAAAATTTGCGAAAATTTCAGACCTAATTCCACCTCGTTAGAATTCCGACTGTGGCTGTCTAGTTATTCCGACAAGAGATTTCCTCTAGGCATTCTGCAAAATGGCGTGAAAATTGCTTGCGGTCCACCTAGGAGTCTGAAAGGAAACCTCTTCAGGATTTACAACAGTAAACCGATGAACGAGCTCGAATTTTTCGAAGGCTGTCCTGGGAAAGACAAAGTTTTCTCAAAACTTCTCTACGGCCTCTGCTTTTTCCACTCTCTCGTTAGGGAGAGGACAAACTTCGGAATTTCTGGATTCAATTATCCCTACGAATTCGACCAATCGGACATGAGAATTTCGGCCCTGCAATTGCAGATATTTCTCAAGGAAGAGTTTTACATCCCCTTCAATTCGATTTCATATCTCGTAGGTCAGTGCAATCACGGTGGAAAAATGACGAATAAAATCGACCTTAAGTGTCTCAATGAGCTATTACTGGATTGTTACAACGAAAGTGTGGTGAATGATATTGATTATCATTTTCTGACTGACAAGGCCGAGTGTAAAGTACCGAACAGGTGCGAGTACAAAGATTACGTATCTCATATTCAAACTATACCCAGGTACGTTTCACCGGAAATTTTCGGATTGCACGAAAATGCAGGCATAATTATCGGCAACGACATGACTAACGGATTGATTCGTTCCTTAAATTTGATAAACGGCGATGCTTTGTTAGACACCTCCAAAACTAAGTTTCAATTATTGAAACACATACTGTGTGAATTTTTCGAAAAACTTCCGCAAGCCTTAAATTTAAACGAAGTGCGGAAAAAATACTTGGCCGACATCTCGGAGCCGTTCAATATCGTTTTAATTGAAAATGCCAAAGAATACAATTCCATTTTGAGGGGAATTAAAGATTCTTTAAATTCTCTGTTGAAAGCCCTCGAAGGTTTGGCATTACTGACGTTATCGTTAGAAAAATTGATGGAGGATCTTTTCCGAGGAAAAGTTCCATCAGGATGGACAAAATTCTGTTCCTACCCCTGTCCGGAATCATTATCAGTGTTTATTAATGACTTTTCGCGGCGTATTGATTTCATTAGAAGTTGGATTAACTCCGGGTTTCCTCGCACGTTTTGGTTGGGCGGTTTATCATCCGTCGACGCGTTTCTTTTTGCGGGAAAATTAAATTTCTCAAGGAGAAATGACGTTCCCTTAGAAGAGATCAATTTCGACCATGAAATTATGTCTACAGATGAGAAAAAATTAATTTCCGACGCTTACAGTGTAATTTACGTTCGCGGATTAATATTGCAAGGCGCTACGTGGGATTTCCAAAGAGAGACATTAGAGGAAAGCTTGCCAAAAGTTTTCTACCAAGAATTGCCAATCGTAGCGTTTCATATTAAAAATGTTAAGAGTATAGATTTAGAAGGGAAATATCAATGCCCGGTATATGTCACAGCATCCCGAGGCGATGCGCAAAATTCTTCGAATTTTGTATCGCAAGTTAATCTTAAGACAAATGTTTCGCCCCGGTTTTGGACGAAAAGAGGTGCAGCTATAATTTGCGGCACTTTGGAGTAAGACTGATTTACTTAGTATTAACGTAAATATTGTAAAAACCTCTCGAACGCATCGCTGATGTTATTTTTACATCGTTTTAATAAAGTTGAAAATTGTCACTCAAGTGAGAACTTTCCGCCATTATTTCAAAACTTTCGCGGGCTCTGCGCGCGCACGTCTCGAAACTCGACCTCTTCGATAAACTCGATGATGGGTGATAGATCGACCCATCGACGTCGAAAATAGCAGTAAAATTAAAGAGGTGTCATGATAGGAGTCAATAGCATTCGCGGTTGAAAAGTCGTGAAATAGTCATCTGTGTAAAAAGGTTAACCGAAAATAAACGGATTGAAATTTCTCGTCATTTCGAAAAACTGTCTAAAGTTTTTCGACTCTGCGAGGCTATGGCAAATCACGAAGAATTAGTCTCGCAATTTGTGGACGTAACTGGAACCGACAGAGAAAGAGCGCAATTTTATCTCGAGTCATCGGCTTGGCTACTCGAGGTGAGACGGCATATTTCCATTTAATTTGCAACATTTTATAAAAACGTCGGTCGCATTTTCTTCTTAATATTGGTAACCCTATACAAATTCCGACATTCGCCTCATAACCTAAAATCTGCGTGGTCGAAATGGAGCTCTAGATTGTTTTTCTGTTTTTTTCATGATAGTGGTGGTTGGCGTGCCACAAATTATTTTCAGTATTTCTTACTTTCTTGACTTCTATGATATTGAGTATAAAATATGATAATACGTGAATAAATCTGTGAAGTAGAATAACTGATACGAAGATCGCTAATAGAATTTATAACTTTTCCTCGTCTTACGGTTAAATATAAAAATGTATACTTATAATATACGTAACAGGTTGCCCTAGCTAGTTTTTATGAGAACGATGAACAATCAGTTTTGGGAAGCGTGCCAGTAGAAGATCTAGTCAATATGAATGAGTCGAGCATGAATCCAGATGACGATGCTAGCGAGGTAGCAGGATCTAAGGAATCCTCCACAGCAGAGCGAAAGTCTTCGAAACCAAGATCCAAACCAACGCCAAGGTTTGGGACTATTACTGACCTTCAAAACAGAGAAAGTAGCTCCGACGAGGAGGAGGGTCAGGCTTTTTATGCCGGTGGTTCGGAACACAGTGGGCAACAGATGTTAGGGCCAGGAAAAAAGAAAGATATTATCAGTGATATGTTTAAATCTTGTCAGAGCCAAGCAGTCTCTGTAGAACATAAAACAGGTGGACAACAAAGACCAAATACATTTGTCGGCACTGGCTACAAGTTGGGTCAGACAAGTAGCGATACAGAGGGTGTGTACCACATAATTTTTATTTTAACTTGAGATACCGTGATACTCTTCACCTTCATTGCGTACCCCAGTATTAGAGAAACTTATTCCAATTAGTGAACTAATGTATTATAAATATACAGTTGTTTCAGCATCCCCATCTGGACAGCAGTCCAACTCGGGTTTAATAACGTTGAAATTATGGAGAGATGGGTTTACAATAAATGATAGAGAAATTAGACCATACAATGATCCAGTTAACGATGAATTTCTATCCGCTATAAAACGTGGGGAGATTCCCATGGAAATTCGCCGAGAAGTGCAAGGGGCAGAGGTACGACTGGACATGGAAGACCATCGCCATGAAGAGTACGTCCCCCCCAAAGTAAAAGTCAAGGCATTTACTGGTAAAGGCCACATGCTAGGAAGGTAAATAACACATTTGCTGCAACACTTTTATATTCTCGTGAATGTCACAATTGCATTAATTGCGTCTTAGTAACGGTATATCGATATGTAGTGGATGTTCGTTAAATTAGTATCCGTTGCTTTATCATTCGTTTCGCAATGCTTTGCGCCAGAATAATTGCTGATAATCCTTATGAACAATTTTTAGCCCATCTCCAGCTACTGTCGGCATGACAGTCCCAACCGACCCAGCGGATCAGGCTGCCAATGAAACACAGGCCAAAAGGGAACTGAACTTGAACACTGCTGATCCTATGACCACAATTCAAATCAGACTTGCCGATGGCAGCAACGTTCGAGCCCAATTCAATCTAACGCACACCATCGGAGATGTGAGAAGATATATCACGACGTATCCTTTCGTGCCTTATTCTTTGAACTTTAACACTTTACCATTTCAGTAGATAACTATAACTAGTCGTAACAGGTCCGGAAGATAGTTAAACCTATAATTATATAATCGCGTCGTCGTTAAAATGCTACGAAAGCGGCGGCGTAACTTATACTCGTAGCATCTGACTTCGTTATTTCCTTAACGCCTTAACGTCAGCATGAGACCGCAGTACGCGAGTCGCGATTTCAGCCTCTTGACAACCTACCCGACGAAAGAACTATCGGACGAGGGTAAAACCATCGAGGAAGCCGGTCTTCAAAACTCTGCCCTGATGCAACGACTGAAATAGACTGTATATGCCTAGCTGCTCGATTACGGTAAAAATGTAAGGAATTGTCTACCAAATATATGTTTCAACGATCGAAATGGAAGTTCCATTGCTTCGCCACTGTCAGAAGTGCTTCGCACTTATCGTACGGAACGTTCGAGTCAGAGAGAGAACGAGTCGAGACACTATCGTAAAGCTAATATATATTAACAGTTGTGCGTGCGACGCGTATCGGTTTATTCACAGCGAGATTACAAATTATTTACAAAAATCCAGGCAAACTGATCTGATCTAATAATACCGCCTAACGTAACATTTGCGTAGAAACCGTGATATGCCTCTTGATGCTTCGAAATTGAAGCACAACCGAGCTAAATGATCTCTGTACAAGATCTATATTCTCGCCTACTAATCACACTTATTTAGGTCTCACGTTTCTTATCGATACTCAATCTTCTCTTGCAAATGTGCAAGGTGACAGAACGCATCGATCGTTGTTAAAATATATCGATCTAAATACCGTACTGCATTGTAAGGAAGGTACTGTAAGAAATGGACGTAACCTAGCTGAGAAGCTAAATATACACAGACACGGTTTTCTATAAAAATAAAAATATGACAATGTATACGTATATTACATCTGTGCTGGAACAGCTCGGAACGAATCACTAGTTGAAAAATCCTGCTCGAACAAAAACAAGAGCACCCTGTCGTCCCGTCTCGTCTCCACACCTGATTCACATTGCACCGAACTTCAAACCATAATCCAAGTAGTTCAAAGTAGTTTTCTATAATAAATGCAACCGATCGGAGCCATGTCACCGTTGCGATTTTCAAGCCTCGTCTCGGAAGCTCTATTTGAAACTTAAACGTCGTACTCGTGGCATCATTGTTATCGATGTACCCCTTAGAATGAGCAACATCGACCTAAGACTTAAATTAATAACTATCGCGTTCTCTTTGAAGATCACTCACTGGCGCGTTAATAAGATCACTCGATGGAGAATAACTTGCCCGTGACGTATTTTTTGTAAATCGGCGAATTTTGCATGTCGCCTGCGAATCTCAAAATGGAGGGATCGTAAGCATCGGTACTGTTATCTATTTCGGAGTCACAGTATTGGTACCGATTAACGAATATAAAATCCGGATTGGCTTCCTGAGTGTCGATGATGTCTACGTTCAACGTTTCGTGCGGCTTATAGATATAAAATGGACGTTTCACGACAATGTTTCGATTGCTGTGCGTTTTTCTGAGGACCACAGGGGTCGAATTTGTGGCACGTTTGTCATCCTTCTGTTGCATACAAAAAACTAAGGTTTTTAGTTTGTAGCGCCCACCTATTGTGCTTGTGCGACCAAATTCCACAAGGAGGTCGGCTACCACATGATGATACTTTAGAACTATGTACTCCTCCCATGACATCGTAGCGACGTACATGACTTTATTATAAGTGCGATAGAGGCAGTCGACCTCGATTACATCCTTAATAATATTCGGATTAATTCCAGTGAATGGGAAGTTCCATGGCACCGTCGTGTACGTGAACTTCCAGTAAGGACTGGGATTCTTTGCCATGTCTTTCAGACCTTTGTTAAATGCAGTAGACACTCCGAAGTCATACACGATGAAGTTGTTCATGCCTACCAGGTTGTGAAAGTTTAAAAAACTGACCATATCTGCGCGATCCATTGGCTTTGTTAAAGGAGGCGCTATGCAAACGGCACTGCTGTTGTTGTCCAAGTCCTGGGTCAAGATTTTCACCGGCAGAATGGGAATGTCCTTTACATTTGTCTCCATTTTAGAAAGGAATGATACACCTACGGGCACATTGTATTCACTGTGCTCACAAATTAAATGGTAGCCCGAATACACTGGATTCTCTGGCATACTCATGTCATCCCCGTTATTGCTGATAATCATGGACGAAAACTTCCCAGGAACAGGCCTGGTCTTACCGTCTACGTATACGCGACAGAGCAGATTTAAATCTGCATCGACTGCCCCAAAACCTATGGCTCTCACCTCTTTATCGCTTATTCCATAAGCAGAGTAAATGTATAAATCGTCATTCAACCTCTGCCAGGATGACAGTGGAACATCAAACTCTGGATCTGATTTACCAAATCCTGACTCATCTTTGGTGCAATTTCTATCGATTCCTTTTTGCCCAGGCTTGCCAAAGAAGTTTAACACTTCCAGTACATATCTAAGTTTATTGTATTCGTGTCTGTAGAAGAGTAACGACACCAGACTAACAGCTGCTGTAATTACCAGAGCGGCCTGATAGTATCTTCTCATCCTGCCCGAGCTGTGACCACTCGATGTTTTAATAATAATCTCTCTGGTCCCAGCCTGCTGAGGATTATTTAGCTGCGAGTATATCACTTCACTTTTCATGCCTACCGCCAGTGCGGGGCTAAAGATTCACCGATAGACAGTTACTGCAACGAGAAGACCGTGATCATTTGCTGTCGCTTGTGATCCATTCCCTGCGTCAGTCAGTAATTTTTGAAAGGACGTAAACCAATTTCTGGACTTTTGATGGACGGACGGATTCGCTTGAATTAACAGAGAAAATTTTGGCCGGCAGCGACCGCGTTCTCTTCAGCCATTTCCTTACCCATCGGATGATTACTGACTGCAGCGATGCAAGCTCACAATGAGAATGAAAATTATTCCTGATAAGCGTTACTGCAGACAAAATCAAGCGCAGGGAAATCAATAAAAATCGAAATAAGGGTTGCCTCGCCTTGAGACTTCGTTACTTAACAAAATTCTACTCCTTCGGTAGAGGAATCGAATTTGCTTGTCAAGCGGTTGCTTACCGTAACAAATGCGCCCTTTCTTGGGCGGTTCGAGTCTTGAGAGGTTAATTGATGTCACTCAGAAATTGGCAGTGTGATTAACACGACAAGTTACAGTAGTGCGGATCACAAGCCGAGATCGAAAGGAATTCAGTTGCATCGATCGGTTTAGATTAACCTCAACGTTAATGCAGTTTGACAGATCCAGTTACTAACGTTCCCGAAAACATGAATAGAACGCGATAAACTGCCATAAAGATCAGAGATGAGTTGGGAGATTGCTCACGGGCAGGGTCGCGCGATCGCATCCTGTGCTGCCCTCTGATTTTATACGTAAGCTTTCACCGTTTTTTGCTTGACCGCAGATCATACGTCATACATGATCATACGATCATACGTCAAAAATGTCTAATATATAGTTTGTTTAATAAATTTCAAAATTGGTTACCCGAGCGGCCATTCGCGAATCGATGCTTCTCTTGCATTTCCGTGCAAGTCGAACCATCGATTCCCCAGGCCCACCACGAGGAGGTTGCCGCTCAATGAGGCCCGTCTAGGAGCACTAAAACGTCAACCTAGACACCCATCTTGTCACCTCTCCGTCACGAGACTTCGAGGTGTCACGATGGGATTTTATATGTTACTATTATTTAGACATTTTTGACGTATGATCGTATGATCATGTATGACGTATGATCTGCGGTCAGGTGTCGACCGGGAGAAGCGCCGGTACGGTAATTGAGGACTCCCGATTATCACAAAATCCTAATCACCATAAAATCCCCAAATTCTAATAATCAATTTTGAAATACATAGTTGATTAATATATTTCAAAATTGATTATTAGAATTTGGGGATTTTATGATGATTAGGGTTTTGTGATAATCGGGAGTCCTTAATTACCGTACCGTCGCTTCTCCCGGTCGACACCTGACCGCAGATACCTGAAAAAGGTACCCTTGTATTCCAATTGCATCATCTTATAATTACGGATTTTCCGTTAACACTTTACCGACCGGAAGCTTATCAATCGGTTTTGCGATACCCGTAATCGCTATTTACTTCCAAATTCGCCGGTCGGTAAAGTGTTAAGGTGACGAAAAAGAGGCAACCGAAGGGTCGGTTGATAAGGAAATTTTTCACAAATCTAGGTGTACCTAATCGTTTGAAATTTTATAACGTGAGTATAAAGACCCTAAAAAAGGGTTCAATAGCCATGAAATTCCGTTATTATAAAGAAATTCCAAAATTGGAATATGCAAAGGCGTGATAAGGAACTGCGCATGCGCATGCCGGGGTCGGGGACCCTATATAAGGCCGAACGCGCGCTTGGAGCATCATTACCCTTTGGTCTTCCGAAGGGTAAACATTGGGTTACCTGCTTGTACCGTAACTAGTTTAACCCCAGTTTTAACCTACGGTTAAACCTAACGGTTAACCCCAGTTTTAACCTGCGGTTTAACCTAACGGTTAAAAATCAAACTTCGGTTAACTTGGGTTGTGAAACCGGGCCTTATGGGAGACATCCCCCCTCCCTTCCGATCCCTCTCCTAATATATTTAACTTAATTTATTACGTTTGTAAAGGGCTTCGGTGCGCAGCAACCTCCACGTGGTGAGCCTGGGGGATCGGTGGTTTCCAACTATTGTTCGAAACCACCGATTCGCAAATAGCTGCGCGAGTGGTTCCACTTAGCGTGTTTTTTTTTTTTTGTATGACAGTAGCTTAACGTACTTAAAAGTGGAAGCACTCATTGCGTGCGTGCGTAATTGTAAATTGCGGACAGGACGTTGTCGGGTACCTTTCCATGCAGGTAGTAATTTCGGAATTACGTGCTAACCGAAGTAGATTTTAGCAGGTATGGCATTGCCATACCTTTAGTGTATCCGGCAGCTTCCGTCGTACGCCGTAGCTAAGCTACGGCGTGCAAGGCTACCTGGCTCAGGTTGTCGGTTGCGCGATACGTTGTTTCGCTCTGGCGGCATCCCGCGGGGGCTCTGCCTGCTGTAAGCCGGGACAAGCCCGTCGACTGAAACTCGTATTCGCGGGCCGACAGCCGAGCCGGGTTAGTCGTCGGTGACGGTGGAAGCTGCTGGATTGTTCGCGGTAGAAGTAGTATGCCCTTCCGGCAAATTATATCCGTAATTCGATGCCAAATAGCAATGTACTCGGCGACTTACCCTGTACTCTGCAGCGAGCGTTGTATGGACGGATGAGTATGGTATGCGAGTGGTGTGTTGTATGGACGGATGCGTATGGTATGCTAGTGGTGTGCTGTATGGATTATGAAATCCTGGTTCTATGAGTTCCTTGGACGCCAGGAACTCAACGGAACCAGGTGCCTATGCTTAGGCGGGTCTCAATCGCAGCGGCCTCCTCGTGGCGGGACCTGGGGGATCGGTACCATCCTTATGGGATGACACCGATCCGCGAACTAGCTGTGAAGTAGAATTTAATTAAGGTAAAATTACACTTTCTCGTAAAATAAATAAGGTAAGTGAAGAGTAAAGTCAAAGCGGGTGCCACGAATGTTCTTCCCTTGCCATCAAAAGCGAGCAGTGTCGGTAAGCGTAGGTAAGCCACCACTGTCAACACTCGCATGGTATTACCATCACGAGTACGTGAGCCGTCAACGGCTACTGGTAGATGGTATCGCCATCGCGAGTGCACGAGCCCCTACCTGAAATTCGTTGCGCCACCCTTGGGGGCAAAAACCGGTGAAGCTGACGTACGAAATCAGAGGGCAGCACAGGAAGCGATTGCGCGACCCTGCCCGTGAGCAATCTCCCAACTGAACTCTGTAAAGATGGCCAACCCTGTATGTGAAGTTTCTTCGAATCGCCATCTGCGAGAGATGGAATAATTTTAAACTCCAATTCCATTAGAGCAAGTCTTGCAAATTGTAAAATAATTAAATTTTATTTAATCTTCGTTTACAGTCTTGATCAGAGAGTAGCAGAGAATGCCCATCTGATTATTCTACTTCTTACTTCTTGAAAACTACTGATGACTATCTTCCAGAATGTAATAAGCGAATTTGAATAACCCGCCAGATGGTGCACTTCGAGAAAGATCTTCTCCGAGCAAAGATGGCGCTAAAGCCTGATCGCTTCCTACTTGCATGTGTGCATACGCCAGGTGCACGTCAAATGAAGTCAAGTGTATCGCGTAGCAATAACAATGGCTACATTGAATATATCTGACAAGCCAACTCTGCCGCCGAAGCCGACACCAAAGCCGGGTATACATAAATTTAATTTCCTCTCTTGTTAAATTTCGTACTAATCCTTCTGAAAAAAGAAATTTTCTTATGTCTAAAAAGTGCCGAAGGTGTTACCCCGAGATACGTGCTGTTCGTGATTTAATAAGAATTTTTGCTTTAATTTCTTTTGATCTTAAGGTGAAGTAAAAATTGTGAGAGCTCTGTATTCGTATAAAGCACAGCATGTAAGTAAAATATTAGAACATTACCTTTTGTAATAATTGTAATTTTGAATTAAGTAGCCACTTATTTAATCTTACAGTCCAATGAACTTTCTTTCGAAGAAGGAGAGCTGCTCTATGTTTACGATCGAGATAGAGATTCAAACTGGTGGAAAGCAAAGTGTGGTAATCAAGAGGGATTTGTCCCTGTTAACTATGGTATCTTTATTTCACTCTACTAAATATTTTACATCTGAATTTTGTAATTTTAATTTTAATTTTAATTTTATATTTTAATTTATTTAAGTCACAGAACAGACCGAAGAAGTTGAGCTACCGCTGCATGAAGCTGCGAGACGTGGAAACTTGTCCTTTCTAAGAGAATGTTTAAAAAGAGGAGTATCAAGAACTGGACTGGATTCAGCAGGGAATACTCCATTATATTGGGCTGCTCGGACTGGTCACATTGACTGTGTTAAAGAGCTACTGAATGTATCTAGTCCTGCCGTCAATGCTCAAGTAAAAAAAAAAAAATATCCTGTATACTAAATTATTGTTTCACATGCTTAAAATTTAAGGAGTAAACATTAATTGATTGTAGAACAGAATGGGAGAATCACCACTACATACAGCAGCATATCATGGACATTTAGAAGTTGTGAATTTGTTGTTAGAAGCAGGAGCTGATATTACATTAAGAAACAAGAAATCTGAATTAGCTGAAGATCTAGCTTTTAATCCTTTGGTGAAGAATGCTATACAAATGAGTCGAAAACAATACATTCCAAATCATAGTTATGGAGTTGAGGATTACAATGATGAGAGTGATTAAAGTGGATACAGAGAAGTATATGATTTTAAAAAATCTTTATATATCGAACTTTTTATTAATTCATAGTGCCTTTATTTTTTACAACTGATAGTCCTCGTTTTACCTGGATGTATGCCGAATTAGTTTAATAGTATGAAACTGAAAACAAAACTCACGAGTTTATTTTTCTACTAAACCACCTGTTGAAGTCTAGCCTCAGAAGTAATTGTGCTAAATGTTCCCCACTTGGCTGTGATCGCACCCTGTTCAAAGTTTTCGTCAACCAGTCCATTAAATTGTCCAGAGTACTAGACAATGTTTTAAGCTCTTCCAGTTCTGGCAATAGTAAGCTACCAATTTTCCACATCGATGCTTGAAAAATGAAGTCATCGCACAGCCTCAACAATAATTTTATTAATTTATTCACCTAGGGAAAGCAAAAATGTTTTAAGGTCAAAACGCATTTTAAAAATATTTTAATAAAAATTGCATACATACAGGATTTTTCTTCTCCGTGTTACTACCTGCCAAGAATGTCTGGGACATAACGTTTGCCAAAAATACTGAATGTGCTTTCTGTATATCCTCAAAGTTTCTCGTATTCTTCATGGTGTTCTCCATAATTGTATACTGACTTTCTAAAACGTCAACTTGCAAATAATACTGTAGATTATCCAGCACAAATATCAGATTGTTCCTCAGCTGAATCACTTCGATCTCACTAAAGAATTATCAAAGTTACATATTTAATGAAACCAGTAAAAGAGTTTTAGGAGCACTTACACATTTTTAGTACGCGTATATTCAGTCCAGAGATTCCATAAGTTAATCTGGGTCTTCTTCACGCGCAATAGAAATCGGAATAAAATATTATAATCGTCCAAAACTTTTGGATTAAAGAGAAGATGTAATGGCCATACTACTTTGTACTTGAGTACTATCAAGCCCCATCCACGTTTATCTAAATAATTTCAAACTCAATAAAATATATATTCATTAAATGTCATGTGATAATTTTGTAAAACATACCAGTAGGATCTTCACGTTCTTTTTCAGAGAACTCGGCATTTTCTTGATCGACAACAGGTTCGTTGGATGTTTCCGGAAGTGGTACATTGAAATTAAAACTATCCAATGCACTTTCGTCATTATTCTGCATTTTTCTCAGTGCCATTTGAAATGCCAAATTCACGTCCCTGGAAGTGTGACTGATAGGTGTTTTATTAAGGATATGTGAAGTGAGCCTGATAAATTCCAAAAACAAATCACCACGGCCAATTAAATAAAAGTCTTTAATCAATTTAAGTTGTTGCATGAGTTGAGCTTCTTCAACTGCAACATACCAAAGATGTTCGGTAACACAATTCTTTAATTCATCAATAGTACGTTCAAACTCAACGATACTAAAGATTGGCTTCTTTTGAAGGTTTCTTAACTTCTGAAAATATTTGTATTCCTTTTCTCCCCATATGGAATTTTTAGCCATGGCATTTACAAGAAAACCTGTGAAATACAATAACGATAGTTTTGTATTTTACTTTTCTCATCTATAACCTTTCTTGCTATATACCTTTGGCTTGCCGAGGATCATTAGTAAACATGATAATAGTTTGACCAATAGTCAAGATTTTGGTTGCAAGGGACGGTGTTATATATGAAGGAAGCATGTCTATTAGTATATCGTAACTCCACATATCATTGTCTGTCCTCCGAGAGCTCTTATCATGACTACTACCAGTGTTATCGGTTACAACACTATAAAGTGAAGAGGTTGCGGTATCTGACACTTTTTGAATGAAAAACTCTTTGTAAGTGTCTTCCAGATGTCCATACAAGAGCCAGCTCGTTAATTGTTTGTAAAACATAACGTGGCAACAATGTACCATTCTATCAAAATATTTTGTATTAATAAAAGAGTTATATAGTTTAAGAGATAATTAAATACAACGTAACCTACTTTTCTAAAGCTATTTTTACTTCTGAAACTCCAGTGTGCATATACTGATGCAAACATTGCAACAATTTACATCCATGCAACTTTTGAGTACGTATCTGAAATAAATCCACATTTATAATCATTAGCAACCTATTTCATTTGTTACTAATTGTTTTAAAAACTAAACTATCATTTCTTTACCTCACGTATGATAGCATTAAGGACTGAGAAAAGGCAGACATGTCTTTGAATGCGACAAAGAACCAATGTCATAGGCGTATGCCCATCACTTAATATGACTCTTTCTAAATCTATAATTTCATCCATAAATGGTTTTAAAGCTTCTTCCATGCCATCGCAAAGAGATTGCAGATATAAACCCTGCCTTAGACAATCTGATTCTGGACAATGATATAACACTAATCTAAGACTTCAAATAAAAATATATAATTCATGAAGGAAATAAATATTTTCTGCGTTTATAACTCACCACTTGTACATTCTGCATACGTATTGGCATTATAAGTTTTTATGAAGGTTCTGATTGCATTACATTCGTCGGCTACATTTAGAATTTTTTTAATCAATATTCTTTCGCCAGGATGGAGAAATTTTGCAATTTCAGGATCCTAAAACATACCATTGGACGTATAATAAACACTTATTTCAATGAAAATCGCAAGTATCGTTATCCAATATGATTTCCAATGTTTACATGCAAATGAAAGTTATATATATTAAAATTTCTTACGTCTGAATCTAGAATTTCGAGTATACTAGTAGGGCAGCCCCATAACGCCGCCAAAATTTCATGTAACATTTTGTAATCAAAAACTCTTTAAGGAGACTTAATTTAATCGAAATAAATCTCTCTTAACTCATTAGGTTACGTTCTGCAGTTTGCTTCGCGCGTCACAACTATTTAAATTTTATTCAAGGAAAAATAGAGCCATCACTATTAAGGCTCGAATTTGCTTGGCTAAGTCTAATATATAGTCTCTGTTCCAATCTCACAAATGGTGCCTGAGTGACATTAGCAGAGATGAATTGGGAGATAGCTCACGGGCAGGATCAGAGATGAGTTGGGAGATTGCTCACGGCCAGGATCGTGCGATCACATCCTGTGCTGCCCTCTGGTTTCGTACGTTAGCTTTCACAGTTTTTTGCCCCCAAGGGCGGCGCAACGAATTTCTGATAGGAGCTCGCGCACTCGCGATGGCGGTACCATCTACCAGTCGCCGTAGGCGGCTCACGTACTCGTGATGGTAATACCATGCGACAGTTAACGGTGGTGGCTTACCTCCGTTTACCAACACTGATCGGTTTTGATGGTAAGGGAAGAACACTCGTGACGCTCCATTTAAGTTTATCTACTTATCTACTACTATTAAGTACATTGTTGCCACGAAGTCGACGTGATGCGGAGCTTTGGAGCACGCGTCGGTGTCGCGTAAGGAACTCTCATGCAGCGAATATGCGTCAGTGCGATCGCTCCAAGAAATCTTCGCGCGTCCCAACCAGCCAAGCGCCAAGCTACGGGTCGAGACGTTGAGTATGTGTGCATTCAGCGTTACACTCGACAAGTATGCGAGAGACTCGAAAACTGCGAAAAATCCTCCCGAGGTTTACCTAACTGCGGATATAAGCCGAGTCCTTTCGCGCATGATATTTTCATTTCGCTACTAGCGTTATCGAGCGTTTTTAGGTGTATCTAGAGCGTTTTTGAACGTCTTAGAACGTTTTCGAGCGTTATCGACCGTTATCGAGCGCTTTTCAAGCGTTTCCGAGCGTTTCTCGATCATTTTCAGAGCGGTTTCGAGCGTTTTCAAGCGTTATCGAGCGTTTTTCGACCGTTTTTGAACGTATTCGAGCGTTTCTCGATCATTTTCAGAGCGGTTTCGAGCGTTTTCAAGCGTTATCGAGCGTTTTTCGACCTTTTCTGAACGTTGTCGAGCGTTTCTCGATCATTTTCAGAGCGGCTTCGAGCGTTTTTCAACCGATTTCAAGTGTTTTTCGAGTGTTTCCGATCGTTATCGAGCGTTTTTCGAGCGTTGTCGAGCGTTATCGTCATTTTCGCGCGATTTTCAAGTGTTTCCGAGCCTTATCGAAGGCCGTATAGTGCTGTTGCGTGTTATTAAGTGCAGTAGAGTGCCGAAGAGTGCCGGAGAGGTGCCGAAGAGTGCTGGAGAGTACCGGAGAGTTGCCGGAGAGTGCCGCAGAGAGCCGGAGAGTGCCGGAGAGTGCCGGAGAGTTGCAGCAGAGTGCCGCAGAGTGCTGGAGAGTGCCGGAGAGTTGCCGCAGAGTGCCGGAGAGTGCCGGAGAGTGCCGGAGAGTTGCCGCAAAGTGCAGCAGAGTGCTGGAGAGTGCCGGAGAGTTGCCGCAGAGTGCCGGAGAGTGCCGGAGAGAGCCGCAGAGTGCCGGAGAGTTGCCGCAGAGTGCCGTAGAGTGCCGGAGAGTGCCGGAGAGTGCCGGAGAGTGCCGGAGAGTTGCCGCAGAGTGCTGGAGAGTTGCCGCAGAG